AGTCGCGCCAAATTTTGCATAGCTGTGGAAAATTTAATAGCAGATCGTTTGGTATCAAAATTTAGATGTACGTTGTAAGGTCGCTGATCTATCGCAGGTCAAAGTCAAGGCATGGTTTCAGCGAAGTCAATTTCCAGGGAATCGTTCAATCTGACGCAACAACAAAGTGTTAGAGGAAGCTATATATCTTTAAGATTCTGTCTTAGGCGACACAGGTATTGAATGAGCAAATTATGTTGACCTGAGGTCAGACATGAAGGCCAGACCAAGGTCAAATTCAGGCTGTTTGATTGCTTTACGGCTTGCTCTATGGGATAGTTTGTGGGGCGCATTTCAAATTTATTGATAGCAGGAACCGCATTATACACCTTCCGAGGACTTCTTTTAAAGGTCGCAATAGGTCACTGACCTAAAATGATCCAGGTCAACATTTTGTTTTTAGGAATTTACTGCCTAGGGTAATCTTTGTTGCTTATGGAAATGCAAAAGTCAGAGCAGTCTTGTATGATTTTGGTCACCATGACCTTCAAAAGGTCAAACAAGGTCACTGACCTTAAATGAGCATGTGGCCTTTTGCTTAGAAACAGTTATCTCGATTCTGGGGGCACCTTCGGGAGCGAACTGGAATTTGACCTTGTTTGAATTTATTTGACACCAAGGTCATGATCTAGGGACCTCAAACCTTGACCTAAGTGAGTTCACGTACAGGTCAACACACTGTAAATTTGGTGTTTCTAGCTTTCTTAGTTCCCGAGATCTCAGGGGGTCAAACTGACCCCCCACCCGAGCGAAGGGTATCCAGCCGGCCACCCGGGCGCGTGTTAAACTCCTGACAGGAAATACATTGAAGGTGCTTAGCCAGTTTAAAGGAATATCGCCGAGCGGTCGTTTGGAGCTTAAGAAGCATTGCACTTGCATTCGCAGCAATCTAAACCTAGCGATATGGGAAACTTCACCATGATAAAACTTGGGAATATGCGCCCTTTAGTGCAAATCTGTGCAAATAGTATACGTTTTCATGCAAGAAGGTTGTAAGCATAAGAGGAACTGTCCTATCCTATCCGACAATAGAAGGCCCCCCCCCCCCACGGTTGAGCCGCTCCTGGTTATATGTAACCAACCAGATTCTTCATTTGTGGTCGACCCTTCCTTAATTTGTTCCCTCCAATTGCTTTGTTAAAGAGCTGTGGCCAGCGGATGTGGCAACAACCACCGTTAACGTATGCGGACGCAAAATAGATCCCCTGCTTCAATTAAACGAGGGGATAAGAGAAGATCAAGCTGCCCCTGGGCTTGGCAAGGCGCGGAATAAAGAGGATCGGGGTGCACCACGCACCGTTAGGAAGGTAACTTAAGTCCTATTCATAATCCTGTGAACATAGCACATTTGTTCAGAATAGCTGCAATGAGTCCGAACGGATGAGCTTTCTGTTCTCTAGCGGTGATGGTGAACAGGAGCTCAGCGGCGATGAATACGAGCGCGACATCTGTTGGTCAGCAAGAGGGGCTGGCTAAAGTCAAGCAGAGCCCGTGTCCGCAGCCGTCGCCCCCGTCAATCGCCGCATGCAGATGGGAGAGCTGGTTCTGCGCAGCGACGGGCCCGTCGTCAGGCATCCGCCGGTCCCGGCGCCAAACGCCGGTCATGCGACCGATGACGTCACCAGTGGAGGAGAGTTTTTTATCAGCTGAGCTGTGCTGATCGATGGCCAGAGTGTGTGCCCGGCGGCGGCCTAATCCGATCTGGTCGTCGTCCTTCGCCGACCTTGGCGGCCGCGAGATTCGAGCGGTGCGCGACGGGACTTCCTGGCAGCGCCGCATGCAAATCGGCAGCCCTCGGACGGCGCCGCGGCCGCGAGCCTCGCTGTTTTGCTCCACTGCTGCAGCCGCGGCCGGGGTCAGGTCGGACCGGAACGGGGGTCCGCGGCGCGCCAGAGCAGCCGGCTGATCTGCCTGCGCGTTCCGATTCCATGCTGGTGCTGCCTCGACGCACAAAGTTGCCGGCGCAGCACGACGCTTTTATTTCAATAAGGTCTGCGGCGAATGCGTACCCCTGGCGAGTATCGTTTTAGGATCAAAGTACCCGTGGAAAACGTATGTAGGCACGAAATACGTAAGCAGGCCTGTCAGAACTGCGTGGGCAACGGTCGTACACAAAAGTGTGTGCGAAAATGTTTGAAAGTATTTCAGCGTACGCATATGCCCGAAGACGATAAAGCTGGTGTGATTAAGATGCGTAGGCGAATGTTCATGAGCAAAATAGGTGTGGGAGCGGGGGCCGTATATGCATCTGGATGGTGGATAGGCTTCAATGGGGAGTGTTTCAGAACAGATCAACCACACGGACACCAAATTATGCATCGGTGGCTTTAAAATTCACTGCAATTTGCTTTCCGGGGATAATCTAAGGACGATAACCATGAATCTTGGGGATTCTGGCTCAATCTGGCCAATGGTTTAAAAATAATGATATCGGGCAATGTTGAGTCGGATGAAAAACAGATGAGGTCAGGGTTTCAATCAAAGGAGGCGCATCAAAGCGGATCCAGCTGGTGCAACATTCTCTCTAGACCCTGAACTACCTCCCATAAGCGTTCGTGCTCTGGGTGTCGCCTGCACATTTTCATACGAGGTTTTTGTGTGGATGCTATCGCCAGGCGAACTTAATTTCTGAAAAAAAATTGTAAAACCTGTATGCACTTACATCAGATATCAAAATACGAACCTTTGCTTACGTACTATTTTTCAAACGAACGCTATCCCTGACTAGCCTTTGAGCCCAAACAGTTCGGTTTTTAAAAAAAAAATTGCTTACGAGTTTTTTGAGTGCACTTTTATGCGTACGAACATCTTAGCTGCGAACTTTTTCCTGACAAACATTTTGCCATGCCCTATTTATTCATACGTACTTTTGCCATCACGAACGTGTACTGTTGCCAACTTAATACCTTACGTATTTCATCCTGGTGAATATTTGGCACATATACTGTATCCCGCGAACAATTTCCACACGTATTTTTTCTATACGTACCTTCGCCCGCAGCCCGACCTAAACATCATTAGGGCACCAACTTATTGATCTTTTGGTTTTGTTCAGATTAGAGCCCTTTCGGCCAGCCATGACCTTTTCAAGTCCTGGTGATAGCGAGCGGAGAACATGCATTTTTAAATTATAGCAGCGGGGGTGGTTTTTGCATACACCTGGAAGCCTTCGGCTACCGAGACCTGTCCATCCCTGGGGCCTCTCTTCGCAGTTTGTGCGGGCGTCCGGCCGAGGCTTCCGCCAAGCGTCACCTCAGTCAGCTTGTGGCTGAGACATGCATCTCGCCCAGGATAATCGGGTAGTTGCGGGAGTTCAAGATCAAGTGATGAGCAGGGAAAGACGGACGGATGAACCATTGACCGCCGGATGCATCCGTTCGCGGCTGTCCGCTAGACAGGCGTGTGACCAGGTAATGCATTGACGGGTGTCGGCACGGCAAACGCGATTCATCCAGCGAACACGCTCTTAACTATTGTGCCTCTGCAGCTATACACGTCCCCCGCTGGACCGCTGAACCGAACTCTCTCGGGCTCAACTTAGAGCGAACTTCCATCCCACGTGTTCGAGCCGCAGCTGCCCGTAACTCTTAAGTACATGAACAGCGTGTCGACCGTGCAAGAACGCTTTTCGCTGCGCGGTGCCGTGGTTCTGGTGGTGCTTTGGCTGAAGCTGCAGTGCATGATTTGGTCGCCAGACGGCGTTGGTGTTCAATAAAGTTGAACGCGTGTGCTCGCGGGCGTGAAGCATAGCTATTTTCAAGCAGCTTTCACTGACATCTTAAAGCGCAAAATAAATGGTGAGCAAAGTAAATGGAAATAGAAAAGAAAACCATCAACCTTTCGTCAATACTGAATGCCTGTAATTCGCGTTAGCTAAATGAGTACATCTGCGTTTTTTTTTTTAGGTGAAAGGCTGTACGTAACAGCGAGTAATCCATAAAGATAGAATACTCCAGATGTGAAGCTCATCCGCCCTGTTGCTCTGTTTCCCAGTTTATCCTCCATACTCGCGACGCCCACTTGTCCGGGTAGGTTGCATGCGCCAGCCACGAGTAGGTCGAAGTGCCCCTGACGAGGTCTCCGTCCGAGCGCCGAGCACAAGCCCAGAAGAGGATCCCTGTGGGCTAAGTCTCAGCAGATGAGCCTCCAGGTAAGTGCGGTTCTGTCCCATGGTTCTCGATTTTCCTTAAAAAGCCCGTGAATGGCCGAAACAGCCATGGCCGCCCGAAAGGGTCTAATTCAAACGATTTTAGACCTGAAATATTCGCATAGTGTTTTAATACACTGAAAAATATTTGGGGGAGGGCGCTTCGTGGACAAGAGGTGCAATAGCTGTGGGGAAAAAGTTGCTTATTGTTCGTTGCAGCAAATGAAAGTACCATTAAAAAGGCAACGCCGATGGGGCGGCACTCGACACAGCACCGACACAGCGGTGTATGCTGTGAACAGCAGCTCCAATAAACAATCACCCTTCCAACACTTCAGATGAGTGCGTCCCAGCCACCCGGATGGCTCGACACGTAGGTGGCCCGTTCTGCGATCACCACAGTGTCGACAAGATGACTAGGAGGCCAGCTAACGGCAGACGCACTCAGCGCCACCTATGGTTCGCGATCTCGACCACTGTCTACGGCATAACGGGCAGAGGGTGGAGTGTTCAGAGGCGGGATCACTCATCCTCTGTAGGCGGACCCGAGCTCCGAACGTTCGCGGACCGAGCTGAGGCTGTTTTCTCAGCTAAATGCAGAGAGAAAACGAGGGTAGTGACTGACGTCTTCATTATAAAACATCACGCGACTGAGGTTGACTGAGGTCAATATGACGACCACGCGACTGAGGTCGATCCCGAAGGCACGCAAAGAGAATTCGTATGCATGGGCATATCGTTTTGCTAAAGCGAACCCAATCCTGCACATCGCGTGTAATCGCATAGAAGCTCGTCGAGTTAACTCCCAGGAGTGCTGCCAACGTAGCCAAATCTGGCAGATGTCAATATATTATGAATACGCAAGGTCAACACGGACAAACACCACGACAATGCGCAGATCATCATACGGCCCTAAGATCCTTGCTACTGGCGCATCAAATCAAACACACCGCTCAGCTTCCCAGAGAATGTCGTCAATGTACAATGTACATCAAGCGTCGCTCGATCGACCACGGCACACCTGTAGCGCCTGAGTTAGCACCCGCCTCCTCCCGAAAGGCGCCAGCAGCATGGCTCGCCAGTGTCGACACGCAACGACGATGCATTGCAAACATTGAGCTCATCGGTCATTATGGCTACCTTTGCGTGCGATTATGCTCGGCAATACACTGCGCGCCAGCGTATGCATCGCCGCTGAGGTACGCATGAGTTTACTCCCCCAGGCTATCTCTCATGGCCCATGGCCAGCACTACTCAGCTCGAAACGAGCCCCAAAACTTTCTGAAAAGCAGAAAACACACTGAGGTGAGCTTTGGACCTAGAAGTCACTTGGCTAATGGTGTCAGACTACAAAACCATTTTCTGAAAAGCAGAAAACAGGCGGAGGGACCTCATAGGCCCTGACGTCATCATACCTACGGCGTTAAATTGGAATATCCATCCTCACACTCATGTGAAAACCGTCTCAGTGGATATGCTGGATCACCATGGAGGACTAGAGGCCGCGTTCGCATGGAACCACTATCCGTGGCCAGCCTGGCCGGGTCGGTGAAGGCATTCCTCATCTGTCGATTCCAGCCCGCCAGTACCAGGTCTGGCCAGCAGGCATTTCCTCCGTCACTTCAGTTATTCAGCCATGGCTTGGCCATCCCTGGTCCGTCAGTCCTGGTTCATCAGTCCTGGTTCATCAGTCCTGGTCCGCCAAACCCGTCCCGGCAGTCCCGTTCCGTCCAGGTCGTTGTCCGTGTTCTGCCCATCTTGATCCGGCAGTCCATGCCCATCGTCTCGGGACCGTTGTTCCGGATCCGTCGATTCCGTGTCCGTCATTCCGGTCCGTTAGTTCCGTACCCATCAATTACGGGTGCGTTCGTTCCAGATCCGTCAGTGTCGGGTCCGTTAGTTCCGGATCCGTCAGTCTAGCGTCCGTCAATTCCGAGTCCGTCAGTTCCGGGCCCGTGTATTTAGGGTTCGTCAGCTTCGGACCCGTTAGTTCCGGGTCCGTCAGTTCCGGGTCAGTCCGTCTCGCGCACGCCCTTCAGGTCTGTCCGCCTCGGTCGAGGCTAGCCTGGTCGCGCCCCAGCAGCAGCTCGGCCAGGTCCCGGCGCGCCGTCTCCACCAGCTGAGCGCTCCCGGCCAGCTGAGCCGCCTCAGTGGAGGCTAGTCTGGCCACGCTCCAGCAGCAGCTCGGCCAGGTCCCGGCGCGCCGTCTCCACCAGCTGAGCGCTCTCGGCCAGCTGAGCCGCCTCCGGCTGAGCTGTCGGCCGCGGCGGCGAGTCCGGGAGCTGCGTCAGGCTGCTCAGGTTGATCACGTCGAAGTCGATCACCACCTGGCGCCGCGGAGGCACGTACTGGCTGAAAGGCACGAGCGACTGTCAGGGCTCGGACAATGAACGGGCCGGAAATAAGAAGAAAGTGTGCCGTTTGAGCGAGGTAACAGAAACGCTCGTTGGAGAAGCCACTCGGCGCTCCATGCAGTCCGTCACAATGAGTCGAAGCAATCAAAAGACAAGCGGGCTGATGAGGCCGTCATGCCAAAGGATGTGATCTTTAGAAGTTGCGCATCCAAAACAGCGTCCCCAGAATAGAACGATCCAACTTTACGGGCTGGAAGGGACGTTATTTTCAACATACGCTACACTGATAAAAAGTCGTACTGACAAGTTTCGGTGACTCCAGTCTCTACGATCAAAAGATTCGGCGAGAGTAATGCGACTCAGATTCTAAGAATAAATTATTTCTTAGAATCAGTTACATTGCTCTTACGGAATCTGTTCATTCTAGGGCCAGGAACCACTGGCAGTGGTCGACGCAATTCTTTTTCTCAGCGTGCCGATTTAAAAAATGGACTAGAAAGTCAGCAGAGACTCATTGACAAGCGTTACACAAAATATAAGACGGTGGATTATTTCATTCACGAGCAAACGAAATATGTGCTTAAATGAAAAGGCAAGCCGCCCTCCAGCGTCTAGGCGTCGCAAGAATGACAACATGCAATTCACGAGGAAAGTAGGAGTGATATGTGCATTTGTGACCTCGAAAGCCAAAGACTGACAAATTTTCGCAGATTTTCACAGGCACAAACTTATTTCCTCGTCGCGAAGGAGCTAGGTAGTTCCCGTGTCAGGTGAAAAGTGGAGGTAAGGGAGGCAGAGGGCCGTAGCCAGCCCCGCCGTCTGTCCTTCCACTGAACAGGTGCCATTAACAAAAATAAGTCGACAGCGAAATACTTTTTCAATTGAGAAAACATCATTTTCAGCACAGAAAAGAGCGCTGCTGGATTTTTCAACTTAACGGAAATGAACGGCACTTCGAGAACAAAGCCGTACGCGGATATTTTACTTCGTCAGCGATGATGTTACTTTTATTGGACGCAAACAATGCATTTGTGGTGCGTCTGAAAAAATGATACTTTAACAAAGTTCATGTTTCACGTCAAATTTTCCTGGACCACGAACAAGGTATCGATCTTGCTGAGTCGACCACGGACCTTAGCGCATAGCATGGGTGGTGGCTTGGATTTTAGGACACAGCAGTTTCGTGACACGGTGTTCGCAACTTAGCAAACCACAACGCCTTTCCAAGCATTTTAAATTGGCTACCCGCATGCACTAGGCCAACGAACAGCCCCAACCACGCCCTTCGACGAAGAGGGGTAGCTCCACACCCACCAGCACCCAACGGCAGCGAGTGACTCCACACTCACCATCGCTCAGCGACCGAGAGTAACTCCGTACCCATCAGTACCCAACGGCGAGGGAGTAACTCCGCACTCACCAGCACTCAACGCCAGCCATTTCGAGAAGTCGCTTTGAGGCGATAGTGGAGGACTTGTGCGAGTGCTTGTCAGATGCGTACACCACCTTCCTGATACCTGGCGCGGGTGCAAAACAGGCGTAGCGTCAGCCAGTCGCTGATACTTCAGATTTTTCTTCTAAAGATAGGAAGATAGATAACTTGAAAGATTACAACAGCACAGTAGTGCCTACATATTCGAAACCTGAAAAGGTCTCCAGGAGCATCAGAGACTACGGCAGACATCGTCTGCAACGGTGCGGGTGTTGAATACTGGTCATAGCCAACTTTGGAAAGTCAAACATCTCACGGCACTGAACAATGCCAGCGCGACACATTAGACGCTAACGTAATAACGCCACGCCTTTTTTGCTTATATTAACTAACATTACAATTTCGACTAAGCCCCCTACACTGAAGCGCCGACTTTACCCGACTGGATGATCAGTTTGGCGCATTCGTTGCAGGGAAACAGAGCCACGTAGATGGTGCAGCCTTTCACATTTGCCGAGTTCTTGTTCATTATGGCGTTCATCTCAGCATGGCAAACTGCAACATAAACGCCCACATCACCAGCAGACAGCGCACCGAAGTGTAACGGTACCGGTCATATCATAGCGCATAATGCGCCAAACTGGGACGTTACCGGTCATATCATAGCGCATAATGCGCCAAACTGGGACGTTACCGGTCATATCATAGCGCATAATGCGCCAAACTGGGACGTTATCAGTCACATCCTAGCAGATAACGCGTCGAAATGTAACGTTACCAGCCACATCATAGCCAGGCAGCGCATCGGACTGTGACAAATGGTGCGTATTGCGCGCGATGCTTGATAAAATGTCAGCTGATTTCCAGCTGTTCAAAATTAAGTCGGCGCTTCGTGACTGTACACGACTGTCGGCATGTGATTGTCAACAGAAATAGTAATGCCGCACAGACCGGGCAGAAACAATCACGCACGTTTTATGCCTGAGTCAAGTGTGTTTGCAGGGCACGGGAGCATGGACGAACGAAAAATATCCCGGCTCTGAGCTATGTTATGCCCAGCGAGGTCACTGGTGCACAGTGAAGGACATATTTCAATAGAATATGTGAGCTCTATACATCCATGTATTTCGCTCGCACCACACATCAACATAAACATAAAGTTTTGCATTACCTGCATCATCAGCGTTAAACAGATTACATCCGGGTGATACAAGCTGCCGTAGTAAAAATGGGCAATAGCCAGTTAATCTGCGGAGGACGTCTTCCGTCTTATTTTCATCCGGAAAGATTTACAAGCTGCAAAATTAGAGAGCCATACCTGGCAACGTAAATGTTGCTTGCCGGGCCTTTCTTCCGTTGGATTTACGTGTATGTTCCAACGCTTCACCGCAGTGGAAGGACAATTGCAAATTTGATGGAAAAATATCCTTATTTCAAGAACGAGCCCAAACATTACAACAAACCGGGCGTAAATGTGGTTAGGTGTAGGCTTCCTGAGGTGCCTACATGGGTATGGATTTAAGGGTACTGACACACTGGTCCTGGTAAATGAACGAATGCTGCCGGCGGTATATTCCCTATAGCGACTGACCGTGTCATGTAACGCTCGCCGTAGCGTATGTCTGAGCAAGCAAAGCGGCTGAAGAGCGATGGCCGTTCCTGAAATCCGGGACGGTCTGAACATTTAAAACATCGTGAAGACGTTGGACACATCCCAAGTTGTTTAAATTACTGTCCCGCATGGCATCATTGACACACGGAATAATAACAGCATCGTTTGGTGCATTGGAATAATCCAGTGATGTCTAACGCGTGCGTTGTTCCGCTGAAGACCACATCGGCCAAGCCTGATCTCAGGTCACGGGTCACAGGCAGAACCCATGGCACAGACATCCGGGGTCAGGGAGCGGCACATCCCCGACCGTCCCCGAGGAGTGGAGGGGGAGACCCTGTCACGGACCTCAGACTGCGACCGCCAAACAGGAAAGGGTCTTCCTTCCAGTCAATGGGCACGCGGATGCGGGGTATCACTATCATAAACAGCGGCTCCCAGGGATTCTCCAGCCGGCCTGATTACCAAAGCCGCGCCAGCCACGGAAGCGGTGTGGGCTTATCAGGCAGGCTGACGGCAACTGAAATGACACGCGGCGGCCCGTACCCACGCTACGAACTGGGGCTGGCGATTGTCGGGTTCGTTAGTCCCCAGCCGGCGGGAGCTTTTCGCCTCGACCCGTCCGCCCTCCCCCCCCCCCCTCCCTGCACCCCACACCACAGTCTTTGGACGAGACTCACCGCGCGTAAACGGACTTGGTGTACTGACTGCTGCGCACCGTACTCATTGCACAAGTGCTTGGTGCCCAAACTGTCGGTACTCATCGCAAGCGTACCTGGCGTCCAGACTATCCACAGCACTCACTGCACATGCACTTAGTTTTCAGACCATCAGCGGTACTCGCAATATATGTTCTTGGTATCCAGACTATCGGCGGTACTCACCGTACATGCCCTTGGCATGGAGACCAGCGGCGGTACTCACTGTACTGTACATGTCCTTGACATCCGGACCATCGGCGGTACTCACTGTACATGTCCTTGATATCCGGACCATCGGTGGTACTCACTGCACATGTCCTTGGTGCCCGGACCATCGGCGGAACTCACTGTACGTGTCCCTGGCACCCGGACCATCGGCGGCACTCACCGTACATGTACTTGGTGTCCAGACTATTGGCGGCCACCTTGCCCCAGGGCAGGCGGTCGTCGCTGCAGCCCAGCGGCATCCCGTTGTAGCCGATGCCGACGATCTTGCGGTCGTCGCTGACGATGCAGGCGCCCACCTGCGTGACGGGGTCCTTGCTGCGCATGGCAGACAGGAAGCAGATGGCCATGAAGTACTCGGCCCACTCCAGGTAGCCCGTCCGCTTCAGGCTGGCGTCCCTGCCGGCATGCCGCGGCCGGCTGAGGGAGCAGCGGCTGTGACGTAGCGAGTCCCCACGCCGACGCGGACGGGAGGGCGAGACCGCAGGGCGGGAGGGAGGGAGGGGAGAGCAAGCTCCTCCAGTAGTGGAGCGGCTTTCACACCTAGCACTGCTACTGGCCACGCTTGCAATCCGGAGACGGAGAAGGACGGCATAGGAGTAGGAACAAGGACACCGACGCTCAGCATGGGGGTAGGAACATGGGACAGAACAGCAGGCAGTGCACTGAAGTCTTGTGGAGTTGAAGATTGGTGCCTTGTTGATGCATCACAAGGATTTACTTAAAAATTGTGCTTGTCGCCTCCTCTTTCCGACAGTTTTGCGTGCCTGTGCGGAAATTTATAACAATTTCTGTTAGCGCACGTTACGGAATTCTTTAGATAGTTCTGGATTTGTGCAAAAGACATCACGGATATCGAGTACAATGACCCAAACAGGAGTGTTCGTTGCTTTTCTAACCTTCATGTGGGCATGGAAGATTCGCGATGGTGGTCTAGACAACACGCTCGGAAAAACCGTTACAGTGGCTTCGAGAAACATTTTCGAGACTATGGGAAAATAATCATAGATTTTCTACCCCTACCCGGTGAGAAGCCTCAATACATTCTGATCATCCGCTGGACACCTTTCCCCAAATTCCTGCGGACCTCCCGCTCCCAGTGTCCCTTCTTTGCACAGGTCGCCGACAGGTGGACGGTGCCGTCTGAGCGCATCACACCCGCGCGCCCGCGTCGCACACCTCAACTAACGCGGGCGCGCTTCAGCCCCGGAGCGCGACCACCGCCAGAGGCGCGCCCGACAGCCGCGGCCGCGCCGATCATCTCCCGCTCGGCAGCGAGCAGTGGCGAGGCGGCGGCACGGCCGATGGCGAGGCTCTGCACCGCGGAATGTAGCGCTTCCTCAGCGGCCAGCCGGTACGCCTACGCAAACCGGGTGACGCCGCCGGGGGTCGCACGAGCCCACGGCGGGCAGTCCCCCCGTCCCGCAAACAGTCATCATGACTATTTGGTGTCGGCGGATCATGTGCGCCGGCCGCATACAAGGATGCGGCTGGGACTTACCCTGCAGACGCAAACCAAGCTGAATGGAACGCGCCGCTGATCCAAAGGCCGGCGCCGACGCCACGTAAGTAGATAGAAACATGCTACTGATGCAAAGGACACCAGGGCAAGCTGAAGTAAATATTACAGCCTCATCATTTATTCGCTTGTCCAACTTGGACTTGTCGTAAAGAAAAACTGGTTGGTTTCATGGACCCAATCAGCCATCATCAAATGAGCCGAGCAGCTGACTCTTAACGCGTTTATTCCCTCTGTGCCAATGACGCTTACCGGCCGGAGCCGGCGCCCTCCAAGCAGTCGGGCGCGTCTTGGACCGCAGATGCGTTTTCATTGACGTTGGCGTTCATCCCGGCGACAGCTCACAACGGGCTGTAAACAGGGCCATAGGTGAGCACAACTGCACTACGATCTGGCCATCAGCCAGCGCACATTGCTGTGATGCACCAAACGTGCACTGCACGTCTGGTGGCTTCGAGGCAGTAAGATACACATATTGCTGTTGTTATGACAAACTCGTGGTACCTTTCACACTCTTTATCGTATCGTTACAAAGGGCACCGCTGGATGTAGTTATATCTGCGCGGATGATCCTGGCCGCCAGCTGACTGCGGTTCGTGGTCGGCCCACGAGCTACGGCCGCCGGCTCAGCGTCTCAGGACCAGCCGCCGTTGCCGCCACCTCTTAACAGCCTAGGCCACAAAGCTTCACAAATGAGCCTAAGTCGACAGCCCCCCTCCCCCCCCAAAAAAAAAAACAAGACAAGAAAGCTAGAAACTTATTCGTCATAAAGCTCTCTCATAAACCTATCTGTGTGCATGCATGTTTGCGTACGTGCATGTGTGCGCAATGCCGCGCAGCAACTTGAAGCATTGCGAGCAGGCCGACTTTGATTTCACTCTGATTGCCTATGCTGACACCCCTGTCACCTAATGGACAACAAGCTTGCTTAGTCTTATGTTGGCAGGGGTGTCGGTATGCATGCAGCCGGGCTTGATTTTCTCCTGAAGGTCTCCAGCACATTAACCCATCGCAATTTCGTGGCATTACATTGGCAGGGCTGTTGGTATCAGTGGCCTGTCATTTGCCACACTTGTCACTTACTTTCCATGTCTTTCATTTTTCTTCGTCTCATTTATATTATCTCAGTTATCCCTAACTACTTTTATTTCACTTGCATTGCTTTATGTTCGGCTTTTGTCATCTTTCACTTTTATGGCACACCGTAATAAACCGCGGGTCACATCACAGGCCACCACCACTAACATAGTACACAGTGATCTCTTCGTGCCCTTCTTATGTCGTTTGTCAGGTAACCCTCAGTTTTACGCAAGGTGTGCTGCGGCTTTGAAGCATTCAGTTAATTTGGTGTTAAATGGATTGCACCCGTTCCCTTCCCGCCTGGGAATGCAGTCTCGCGCATTTATTTCAATCGCAAACAAATCGGGGCACTATTGGGGCTACACTGCTGCCCAGACAACTCGCTATCTTATAACTGATAAGCATAGGAACGCGGAAATTTGTTGATGCTTATTGAGAAAAAATGAGCACTGATTACAGGCGGTCATCCAATACTATGGTTTAAACCAATAGACCTCACAATCCAGGAGCAACTGACGTGTTCTTCGTACGCAGCAGTTTGAGGCTACTTGGTAAAACGACTACCTAAAAAACACATTTAGAGGTCTGATGCTACAGATGAGCTTCTAGAAGATGAGCCAAGACGGTATACAACACTACATACATTTATCCTGGCGCGTTTGGGACGGGTGACATTTAATCAGCTGATCGTGCACAAAATCTGCGGCGGCATCACCGCGTTTTTTTTCTTCAAAATGTGATTTCATAGGATGAGAAAATCCCCAGAAAAATACTGCCACCTTTGGCTTCTACCAACCATCTACCACCCATCACATGTGAAAATGGCCCGAGCGCACAACAGCCTAACCACGTCCTCAGTTGCAAGGAAAATGAAGTGAAAATAAGGATTAAAGTGTGCGACTATCGCACAGCTTTCATTGCTCACATCCCACACATTACATTATCATCTAGCTCCAAAGTCGAGATGACGGACAAACCGGCTGCCTTCTGTCTTGGCGAGTGCCATGCTTACAGACCCAGCACACACACACAAACTCAAACAAAGATACCAGAAACTACAGGCGTTCCTACACGCCTATGAGACAACAGCATGTCTCCTTCACAATACTGCTCCCCATTTGTGGATTTCAGCAATAAGCGACTTCAAATATTCGTAACTGTTGCAGCGACGGTACCGGCAGTACCGCTGCTCAAAATGACAATATTTCGCTGTGTGCTGGCTCTCTGCTGACCAGGCAGTCGCAGCAACGGAGTCGCAGGACTTAAATATACAAAAAAAAGCACCATAAAAGCCGAATATCCATGACAAACAGCACATTGGCCACCTATCGCAATGCTCTGTTTTGCACCCAGGGACGCATAGAGCCCTAGAAATATTGTGCGCAAAATCCGAAAACGATGCGCAATCCTCAAATGGTAGCCGACTTGGAACAGCGAGCACAAAACTCACTTCTCTACTGCCAGCTGCCATAGCTAGGTCTTGCTTGGGCGAGCCAAAAGCAAATTCCAAGTTATTTTTGTGGGACAAGCCCCAGCCAAACCCCAGCCTGGGTTTGAGTGTGATCGAGTCCAGTTAGGGGTTTGCTTGAATAAATACACACAAAACGGACGCTAAACGGTTATTTGGCTTTTCTAGGGCAAAATCCAACCACAGCACGCCCAATAAACTGAGCTCGGATTCCCTGCGACTAAACCGGATCTGGACTAAGTCACGTGCGGCTTCACCGGTGGCATACCCAACGCATTCAGGAAGGTCATTTGGTCTCTGAAAGACAAATTGATGCCTTCCAGTTTCCACTACACATTCGGCACTTGGATATACCGCCTGAGCGCCTTCTTCGGGATGAGCAGCCACGGCGGAACAGTCTTTAAACAATACGTTTTGGTGCTAATTTTGTGCGACTTTGGGCCAGTACCTTTGCTACGGTGGTCGGTGAAGTTTTGACCAATCGTCCTTCACCAGTCGTTGTCGGCGCTGGCCGGTGAAGTATTGGTGTAGAGTTGTTGAGAGTTGTCGGCGTCTGGGTGGTTTACGGCAGCAGGTCGTCAGAAAAGCTGGTGAGCGCCGTCAGAAGCTGGTGGGGAACCGTCGTTTAGGCGGGGGCTGAGCAGGCTCAGACTGCTGAATGACGGTAGGTACAGAAGCTCAGGCCGACTGACTGACAAAGCCTGCTCAAGCTCAGATTGTTTGGTGACTGACGAGCGCTGCAGGGGTTCAGGCCGTTTGGCGACTGACGAGCGCTGCAGGGTTTCAGACCGTTTGGCGACCGACGTGAGCTGATCTGCCGAGACTCAGACCGTTTGGCGACTGATGGGAGCGACAGAGGCTCAGACCGTTTGGCGACTGACGGAAGCTGCCGAGACTCAGACCGTTTGGCGACTGATGGGAGCTACAGAGACTGAGACCGGTTGGCAACTAACGGTAGCTGCCGAGGCTCAGACCGTTTGGCGACTGACGGTAGCTACAGGGGTTCAGACCGTTTGGCGACTGACGGTAGCTACAGGGGTTCAGATCGTTTGGCGACTGACGGGAGCTGCACAGGCTTGGACCGTTTCCTGCTGGCTGTGGCTTGTTCGTTGCGCTGCCCGTTCAAGGCGTCCAGCGGCTGTCGCATAGGGCTACGGGTTCCGTGATGAGCCTCACGTGCATATGCGATTATCTGAACAGCGAGCTGAACAGCAGCCAGCGAGATTGCCTAACAGCTTTGATCTTGTAACGCTCTTCTCAGGCTGTTAGCGCCCGCACCGCCTATTCCACAACAGCAGTCGAGGCACAAAGGACAGGTCTAACGTTGGACATTACAGTCGATGTCGTAGCAAGATCACACCCACACTCGTGGCAGAAACCGTATGTAAACCAGAGGCAGGCGGCGCTACGTACGGGGCATTACGACGGTGTTCTTCAAGAACCGAAACAAATCACAGAGCAGGGCCCTCACGTTCGTCTAATCACGCTTGATGCTGGTGACCTCGGTGAGCGCTTTCCACTCAAAACTGCGACCGTGAACCAGGCCGTAGAGCGTTTTGACACCACGTACACCACGTACCACGTTTGAACACCACGTAGTACACCTTGGTAGTATACCCTGGTTTTACCGGCCGCTGTGAACCCAAGCGTAGACCACGCTGTCGGGAGTTGGCACACGTCCGCAATCACGTTCGGTGGCACCACCGTAACGTGCCTGCTTCTTGTCACACTCTTCCTGCGGAAAGCCGTCTTCAGACTTGCAACCCAGGCTCAGGCGGCGGACATGCGAGGGCTCACAGTCGTCTGCGGACGAGCGATCGACGGCGAGTCCCGAGATCACCCGAGTGACTGTGGCCACGCAGTGCCTTTTTTGCGTCCACACGCGGACGACATCCGTCGGGGTCGCGCCATTCGGCACCCAGCACACACAAAGACGACTCTTCGCCATGGCACGTGCTCGAGCACGCGGTACGCGCGTAGCCGGCCTGGCAGCACCAGGGCACGTGCCATCCGCAGCGGCATCCATTAATCAAACCCAGCGGACGGCTCCCGGGCGTCTCTGGGTTCCGAACTGAGATGGGCTGCCGGCTGCTGCACATCTTCCGATAAACACGTGAGCGTGGGAGCGAGAGGCCTTACATGGCCTCGCCGACGGCTGTCCGCCTTCGGAAGGGTAGCACTTGCGTGAGCGCAGTAGGGAAATGACGTGCGAAACAGCGGCGAAAGAAACGATGCCGCCAGAAACAGCATAGATGCTACGCGGTCCCTCTCCGACCCGAGTCTTTCGAGCAGTCAGGTGGCAGCCCCTTAAAGGCCAGAGCCCGGAAAGCATAACGATGATGACTTTGTTAACTTCGATGCATTCAGTAACTGGGGTCAATGGAATGGTGTATCCTCACACATATCACTGAAACCCGTGTGACAATCGGCGACAGAGACGCAGGCGCTGGCCAACCAGTGGCGCTTGATGGCCATATATTCGTCTTTCTAATAAATCAATAATGTGTACTCGTAAAGAGATTCCGATTAGTTGTGAGGCGGGGGCGAGGTCCAATCACGGGGGTGAGTCCAATAACTGCCTTATGAAGGTGGTGAGCCAAATGCCCTTATCGAGGTGATGAAACAAGTTAAATGCCCTTATCGAGGTGATGAAACAGACTTCCTTATTGAGGTGATGAGCTGGACGCCCTTATCGAGGTGGTGGGCCAAGTGCCCTTATCGAGGTGGTGAGCCAAGTGCCCTTATCGAGGTGGTGAGCCAAGTGCCCTTATCGAGGTGGTGAGCCAAGTGCCCTTATCGAGGTGGTCAGCAAAACATCGGTATCTGGGTGGTAAACCAAACGCTCTTATCGAGGTGGTGAGTCAGATGCCCTCGTCAAGGTGATGAGTCAGATGCCCTTATCAAGGTGATGAGTCTGACGCCCGTATCGCTCCAACCCTAATACTCGGAAAACACAGGCCTTTGATGTACAACCACCCTTGCGCGACACGGGCTTTCCATAGCCACTATCGGTCCTGGTCAAACATCAGTACGTAATCCATCGCTCAACCTGTACGTCGCTGCGTGTCCCTCTCGTAACCAGGCTTACAGTTTTGAGACCGAAAGGAAACGTCCCAGTGATTGTTTGATCTTCTACAACCTGGTATATTTCATGGTGGTTATCTTCTGCTTAACAATCTTGAAAACAAGAGTTAGTACCCTTTATCCTTGCATGACTGGTATAATACTGTACTGATGGTGGTGGGTCCAGCGAACCCACAATCACCTGAACAGGACGACATAATCAATGTACACAAACCAGTTATTTCTTTATTTTTCCAGTTGTTCTTGATTACTTATTCAGTAATCATTACATGTCTTAGTCATTTATTGCACTTCCTATTTGTTAATCTATCTGCATGAAAGGTGGAAAAAGACAGACAAAGACCAGGCATAGAATGCCACTTATTTACCATATAAAGCCCAATTCTTTCCTATGTCAAAAACCCAATACATGCTCCCATTTTAGTCGTGCAGGAGCCAACACACCTGTTGGTTTTCACATGCACTAGTTAAGTAATATGCATGGCATATCCTGTTCACATTAGGAAAAAATTCAGGAAAACATGAACCATGACATTAGCCAAATTTTTGCACAATTCAGGTGCACTGACTATATTTTGGTGTTTATAGTAAGATTTCATGCGCTGGACACTCATAGGTAGCAGGTGTAGCATCAGTTTGGACACCAGATTCCCCAACATTAATAAAAACTAGGTCCAATCTGGCCAGTAACCCATTTAGGGGCATATTTCGGGGATACGTTTCGTCACTTTTCCCTGTTCATCCGACCCAACATATTCACAAAAATTTAATCCCTGGATGTAACTGAAAATGCCATAAAGCTACCTCAAAGATGAGCCCCTCATCACCCGCAGCATATTTTGGACGCCTATCGCTCAGTTAAATATGGCCCAGTTAAATATTTTGGACACCTTTGCCTCAGTTGACCATGGGTGCAACTGAAGTAACCACTGTTTTTATTCCCCCCCCCCCCCCCCTGGAGTTCACAAAATTGGATTCCATCTCCTCGAGCTTTACCTATAGCAGGCACACTTTTTCATGTTTAGGTACCTGATGCAACATGCCAACTAGAAATTTATGGTCATGTTGGCAGGGGCATGACCTGGGTTTCTTACTAGCACAGTGGGGCTCAGCAAGTATGCATCACAACAATTCCTAACTTCCTGGTGAGTGTTTATGCTGGCAGTCACTTTTGGTGATAAAGGAGAAATCCGGACCCAAGAACCAAGAGGAGCCCAGACCCCTGCCCCCTCCCATTGACTTCATTCCTGAGCTGCCCATCCAGATTCTAGTTTGACCCCTCCATTCCTGATTTCAAGGGTGCAGTTTCCTTCTCAGTTGGGAGAGCTCCAGCCAGCACCCTCAACTTGAACTTCAGCCCCCCTCCCCACACTTTTGAGCAAAAAGTGAGCAAAATCCGAGGAGAAACTCATTTGGTGGCATATTTTGGGGCAGGTTGGGGATTTTTCACTGACCCCCCCCCCCCAACTCATTTTGCGAAACTACACCTCTGTCTGATTTGTCCTTTAACCACTCCACAGATGCGGTTACACCGATGATTTAGGCACATCCTTATTTTGTTAACCCCACAGCCCACGAGACATTATACAATCAATGGGCCAAACGAGTAAGTGATGTGCATAGCTTAGCGACTCCCTTGAAGGGCGGTTCGGTATATGATCGAACTTAACCGAGATTTACGCTCCTTTATACTATGATTCGAACAAGCCGCAACACCATATTTGCAGCGGTTTACGAACGCTTACGTACAGCGATGGTTGCCTTCGGCCGTGTGCTGAGTCCGGAGCGTCGCGCACGTCACGAAACTAGCAATCCTTTTGAGTGCCGCGCCTTCGGTGCTACCCATCTTTCAAACAGCCCCGAGGCTTCCCCTGCTAGCCTTGGTCTTAGATGGCGTTAGATAGCCTTGGCCTTGGCTACCCCTAGGGTTACGCTAATCCAAACGGGACCCATTGCAGTTTCCAAAATGTATTTTTCACAGTTGAATAATTCTATTCCGAATTGAGATTATTTTATCCTTCGCAGGCCAAGCACATAAACATTAGCCACAACAGATAATCTACGTCACCTTAAGACGCGGTGCTAGCGTAGCATGTAGATTAAGACTCTTCCCCGGGCGCAGTTTCCCCAGTGGGGATGTAGCTCAGTGGTAGAGCGCTCGCTTCGCATGTGAGAGGCCCCGGGTTCAAACCCCGGCATCTCCAACTGCGTTTTGACATTTCACTCAAAATGGTTCCGAATATTGTCTCCGATGCGGTACGGGTAGGTACTCCACACGACGAATTTCAACTCGCTTTAACCTACCATCCACCGCATTCTTGTTATTTAATACGTAATGCTGTTTCATCCCATTCCGCTGCCCACTGTGACAAAAGTTCCAGGGCTAATGGGAGCACGTCGCCGAGGGTTTTTACGATAATTAGTGCAAAAGCAGTGAGGGGACGTCCAACGACAAGGCATTATTAAATACGGATTCTCCTACTTTTTATCTCACGCTCTATTTCTCTCCAGACGTAGACCATTTTGTTCTTGAGTTCAGATGAAAAACGATAAGAATTGCAGCGAATTGGCTGCGAGGCATGGCGGGGCTAGAGCCAGGCCAAGGAAGCTGGGATGGGGGAAAGGAAGGTGGTTATCTCGCCAGCGTGAAGAGGGGGAGGGAACATCAGGTCAGGGTGTGCATGGCTGGGCTTGGGCCGAATATGTATGCGCTCAATACCACGATAAAAATGTTCAGCATTTGCTTCTCTTTCGCTCCTCCAATATCCTGTTCCCATCGCACCTAGATCACCTTATCGTCGTTATCGCACCTAATTCTACGCTGGGGTACGCATCCGGTATGCCTGCGCATCTCCCCTGCGTGAGTAAAAATTTTCGGCGTGTGAAAGACCCTGGGCCCCAGGCTCCAGGCCCATAAGTGTCAGACACTCCTCACCGCGCCTCGCTAGCGGGCTGGGGCAAGCCACGCCCCCCCCCCTTCCCCCTGCTCTGGCGTCAGCGTGCAATACAATCTGAGTTCACCAATCACTTTTCAACACCCAACAACCCATTGGCGTTGAATGCGACGTTGGTTTACATGTTCCGGGCTGCACCCATATTTGCGAGGGTAATGCAGACCGTTCGCTATGCGACTACCACACCCATCTGTCGGAAAACTTGTAGAAAACCCTTCTCTTTCGAGGATCACACACACACTCACACACACGCCTGTACACAAGATAAGCCAATGCACAACCGAATATTTGTATTTCCTCAAATGCGAGAAACACGGCCGTCGCATACCGACTGCGCCAAATGTCGGGTGTCATGGTAACAATGACATCTCTTGGAAACACGACCAACGCCACCAGTGCGGCCCCATGTAACCGCCAGGCCCCAGCAGGGGTGCCAGCACACCCCACCCGCGACCCGAGCCAGCCCAGTCTCCGAGTGAGCCCACCAGTCGAGACCGTCTGAGGTACCCCAGTCACCGATGGTCTCGGCGATCACCCGTCTTGGAACGCTTTGAACGTTTGACGGTCTCCCGACAACACGGCAATTACCCAGCACTCGGTGCTTTTGGCCACGGGGAAGTGGGCCAGGTCGGTGATCACCCCTTCATTCGGTGGGCTTTGTCGCGTGAACGAGGACCAGGACAGTGATCTTGATCACGGGGGAGAGCACGAGGCCGGAGGCCATCCCTTCACTCGGTGATCTTGATCACGGGGAAGAGGAAGAGGTCGGCCTTGAAGGCCTCCACGCAGGTGACGAAGCGTCGCTCGTCGTCGGTCTCCGGCACGAGCAGGGGCAGTTGATGGGCCGTCTGGGCGCCGGCATCGGCCGGCGGCGGCGCGTCTACCGGCCGACCGGGCGGCGCCATGTCCGGCGCCGCCGCGCCCACCACCTGCACGGACAGCGCGCGTTGCTGACAGTCCACGGCGTCGCGCAGCAAGGACCGCACCTCCTTCAGCGGGATCGACTGCAGCACGTCCGACTGCCGGGACAGGCGCTCGGTCACGGTCGCCGCCCGGCCGGGGATGCCGGTCCAGGCGACGGATGGCCACAGTTGCGTCCACAAACGGCCTGATTCATTACCGATCAGATGAGACTTTTAGAACAGCGAACGGCGGAGCAAAAGTTCTCCGGTGCGTCCGAACACTAACAGCGTCTTTCGGCGAAGAAAGTGACATCATGTGCAGAACGGTACCGTGGCGCGGTGAGGAGTCAGATAAGCTCGAGCGGCCAACAAAGACATCCGGATATCCGGATCCGTTGAATATACCACCATGTCAAGACGCCTCAGTGCCGTGATTGATTAATACACACACAAAGGACAAAAGGCTACCACAGAACGCACTCTCTGATCTACACAAAATCCCTCCCACTCGACCGCTATCAGCTCCGCCTTCAGGCGCACTGACCGCGTCCCAGCGAGCGCCAGCCGCGGTTGGCGGCGTCGCCGCCCCACACGGTCCTCACCTCCCGGTCGAGCCGGTCAAACACGTACTCCCGCGAGACGATCTCGCCCCAGTTTCGGTTGACCTCCTCCTCGAGCGAGACGTCGGCGCACTGCTTGTTGCGGATCAGCGCCTCCCGCACCACGTCCAGCTCCGCCTTGCTCAGCTCGGCCAGCTTGTCGACGAAGTGCTCCAGGAACGCCGAGATGCGCTCGTCCACGCGGTCGGGCCTGCCGGGCGGCGGCACCGGCCACCGGTGAAAGACGGCTACTGCGATGGGTGAGCGGCGGCGGGTCACGGTCAGCGGGGGCCAGTGGCTATAGCGGCTGGAAGATCGCCAGGGTCCGATGGCGGCAGCCGACGGCTAGTGATAATCCCCGTCCGGGCTCCGCACGCACGCGTGGACTGAGGCGCGGTCCACAAACGTACTGGCGTTAGATGCCAGGTAAAAGAACATTCCGTGATCGGCTGGTTGAATGCCTAGTAGGAAAGGCGAAGCGTCGATTGGGTTGCAACTTCCCGCAGCTGGGCACGAAATGTGGCCGTTATCTAGGAGCGAGAAGTAAGCTCATCTACCATCCACACACCCACACACCCCACCAACGTACCACAACGCCGAGAATTCGTGTGAGAGCCCCGACCGCGCCCCATTCATCACATCCTCGCAACCACAGCCTTATCCGCCTCGGGCGTGTCTCACCGCGACCTAGCATCCTCTCACATGTGACCGCCCCCTCAGCATCACCTCCTAACTGCGTCCCCGGCCGCCTTTCCAGGAGTGCCGTTCGGTCCAGCTGCGTCAGTTTCCCTCCAGTCCCGGCCGCCGCGTCCCCCTGACCTGGCACCCGTCCTGACGGCGTCGCTGCCGCTCGGTGCGGCCCTCCGATTGTGCGTGAGGGGGGGGGGGGGGGTTCTGCGGTGGGCGGCGTGCGCTGCTGCCTGTTCGCCGCTGGATGTTGTGTGCAACCGGCTGCTGCTGCCACGCCTCAAGAGCGAATTCATAATGAGGAGCCCATTGGTCAGTATACGAGCCAGATGTCGTTAGCACACGACGCTGCACGTTGCGACTCCGGTACACCCCACATCAGTACACACTCATGTGAGCTACAGAGCTAGGATGAAGCGGGTGACCGGGGCATTGGCGGGATGGTGGGTCCGGTCAGGCGCCATGAACGGCTATCTCCCCGCACATGGCTGTGCGCCCTTAACCACGGTACCCCGCCTCCACCTTCAAGCTTATGATAGTATTTAAACGGGGCAAACACGGAACCGGATGCACTGATAATACACTCAACTGGCAAGGGTCTCACGCACTGACGAATTATATTGACAAGAGCCCGCTGGATAATAACCCTGGGAGACCCCCCCCCCCCCGCAGACTCCACGCACCCGGTGCCCCACCACACTCACTCCAAGCACACGCATACGCTGGCGCCCGCGCCACCCCACTCATTCTTGGCTCGCACACGGATGGGACCCCTCTCCCTTCCAGCGCCTTAGCATTATAATTAGCTCGTCTGCGTGGGTCCTCGTTAAGTTAAGTTGAATTTATTGATCACATTTCAAACCTTCAATAAAACTATGTTTAGGCCCTGTTTAAAGTAAGTCATGTCAATTTGTCAGCTCGGCACTGACGCAGCCTCCGGGCCGGCATTAGGTGTCCGAAGCTGGACGGCGACTCGTTCCCTCGCCTGACCTCCAGGCTGACGGCTCCCTGTTTGGACGACGCTCCCCGCGTTCTGTCCACGGTGGGCGGCCCACCATTCAGACGGCCACGCCCATCGCTCGCAGCTTTCCGCTGCCGCACGCGCACATGAGGCAGCGCCTCGTTCGGCACGGAGACGCCGTCTCCGGCGCTTCTGTGCCCTCGCCTCCCGTATGCCGAAGCGAGCTTTGCAAGGCACCATCCCACGGCGCGTCCCTCAGAGAACTGGAGGAAGACAGCGTGCCCGATGGGACGGTGCAGCTCCTCGGCAAACGACAAGCGCCCGGCGTGACCCGCATCAACGCCCTACGGTCTCCTCAGCCGGCGCGCTCTGGGCACAGGCTGGACGGGCCTGACCAGCCTGTCCGGCGACTTGATTTCTCGTCGCCCATCCTACGAGCGTTGATGGCGGGATCTCTATCCGTCCCGAACATCCCGTCATCAAGCGCTCATAAGGTCTGGCGTACGCCAAGTCGGAAGAGAGCAGGCTGTGTTCCGTTCACTCGCAAGGCGGGGACACCACGGATAGATCCTGCTACCGCCGTGCACAATCCGGCATGCCGGGCGGTCCCCACGGGTCCTGGGTCATATCATGACCTATGCCTCTTTATGCCGTCACGCCTGGGGTCAAATGAGAAACAACAAAACGAGTCAGCCGTCTCTTAGTAAAAGGGAGCGTCACCGTGCCTTGAGCCGCGCTGCCCACAAACATGTATCTGCGTAGAAGCAGGACTGCGGTCGTTTGACTCCAAAACCCTGCCGTAGCCGCGCCGTGCAGCTCGGGTGCGTACCGCGCCTACCACTCATTCGTTGCAATTCTTGTGTGACTCGGTCCTTGGGAAAAAAGGAATGGCATACTGCGTACCAGCCGAAAGTCTGACCGCCCGGCGGACGTTGACAGCGTCGATTTCAAAGCAAAATGTTCTGCTTAAACAAGGCATCTTATCATTAAACAAACAAAAACAAAAACAAAAACAGACAAAAACAAAATACACGGGCACGAATGCCATGCAAATCAGTTAATAAATTGGGTCGCGCCAGCGATAAAGTAAAGGCAGCGTGCGCATGATGAATTTTTGCCGACATGCCATACACGGTTCGGCACGGGCTCCGCCGCCCCACGCAATCGGAAAACGAATTAAAGAGGACGAGGAAAATCAAACCATCCAGCTAGGCAACAGACTAACGTCACAGCACAAGGAAACCCTCCATGGGTATGGCGGCGTGGCCCGCACGCCGCGCCTGGCCGCGACACGGGAAAGACGAGGGCCATGACGAGCCGCTGCGCCTCCCCGGGGCCGCCTCCAACGACAAAATCAGGATAGCCTCGGCGGGGGCTAGCGGGCGACCCGTCGCGCCGAAGCGCGTGTTGACGGCCTCGGCCACCACGCCCACCCACGCCGGGCGCGAGTGTCCTGTCGCCGCCAGACTGAATCGCTCCGACCTCGTCTTAACACTAAACCATTTAAAACGCAGACCGCTACCTGTATTTACAAGATCACTAAGACATGGACAAACCACGTGAAACTTCACCCCCTCCCCCCTTCCTTAATTATAGGAGTGGGCTCGAGACACATTGCCCGTTTGGGAGGATCCATTGCCAGTGCCTCTCCCCTCCCCTTACCACACGGGAGAGAACAGCTGGCCGTGGCCCGCGTCCGCCCGGTAGGGAGGGGTCAGGGGACACGGGAGCGCCCGCCGTCCATGGTCCGGTAAGGATGGGGAGAGCAGCCTGTGGACTCATACATGCATGTCGACGCCCATGTTCCGTTGTCTGCAGGGCCAGATGTCGCCGCCTGGTTGTCGCCACCCTTCTCCGCGCTCCTCGCTCCCCCGAACTCCCCGGGAGACTCCCTCCTCCCCGCACTCCCCCACCTTCTCTTCCCCCGAGATTTTTCGTCTTTCCTGGTGGACCCTTCCAACTCGGTTGGCACGCCCTCGTTTTCTTGCGTGGTCCAACAGATTTGCTGCCTCGCCCCCTCCGTCCAATGTGTCGCCGAGCCGACCTGCGCCGCTTCCAGAGCTCGGTCCCCAACGTGCCCCTGGGCCAGACCTCGGGCGTGGCGTCGCTAGCGACGACGCAAGGTCCGCCCGCCCGCGCCTCGGGCGGGCCCTGCGCGTCCCCTCTGGCCCAGTTCCCACGTGGCGTGGCGCTTCTGATGCCAGCTGGGGCGACGGCGGCGCCGGCGCGGCGGGGTTCCTGGGGCGAGGCGGCCAACTCCTCGCAACATGTTACTTGCACATTCCTGTGCGCATTTTGCGTCGCCCGTCCCCTAGCTCTCGCCTCTATGTATCTTGACGCGATGGACCACTTTGACAGAGGGGGCCGCCGTCATGGCCGCTCCGGGGGGACACCTGGCGTCGCTATGTTGATGCGGGGCGATCGGCTGGAGCGTCGGGCGGGTCCACGTCCAGCTTTCGGGCCCCGCTTGGCCTTATGGTCGTGTTTGCTTAGGCGGGGAATTCCTGGCCACGGCCGGCTTGCTCGCCGTTCCACGCTCCGCAGGGGAAGTCCCACTGATCCCGGACGGGTGGCGCGCAAAGTGGAGAGTAAGAAAATGTATGCCTACGCGATGACCTCGCGGCACTCTCGCGGCACGCGCGACCTCGCGGGACACGCCGACCCCGGCGGGAACTCACGTGAACTTGTCCGCCTGCGTGTTGACGCTGATGGAGAAGCCGAGCACGCCGTACACGACACGCATCAGCGAGAACACGTGGTAGCCGAGCTGGTCCTGCGTGCGCAGGAAGTCGAAGGTCGGCTCCTCCATCACGTTCTGCGGCCAGACGGAGAAGACGCCAGTCACGGGGGGCGGAGGGGCGCCGTTACTGACGCAGGCCGCGGCGGCGGCGGGTCCGGTCCAGTCTCAGACGACGAGACAGACACAGCCGGCAGAACCAGGCCCTCGCGGTGTCCAGGTGCCACCGAAGTAATCCAGTGGCGCCGGTAGTATAACGGCCACGTTCAGACACCTCGCCATGCGTCCTTTCATGACCAAATGCCAAGCAGCGCCAGTCACCAAGGCGAGCGCCAATGCCCGGGATATGTCCCAGTTGAAGGGTAGCTGGTCTTGTCTTACACGGCGGAGGATTCAGAGGCGACACTGCAGTGGCCGACGTCAGTCGCAACGCACCACAGTTAACCGCAGAAGCAGCAGCGATGGAGGGGCTGACCGTGACCAACTCGCGGCCCGCGGAATCGACCAATGGCAGCGCCCTGGCGAAAGACCAGCCCATGGCAGTCTAACGGCGAGCCACTCAGCGCGAGCGGCCCCACCAGCTGATCAAACCGGCCCCAGCGACTGCGAGGATATCCCAGGGCGACAAACAGCCGTGGGTGTGACCATCCAGGGACGCGCGACACTCCCCGGATGGCCGATCTCGCCGGCGGCAGCTGACCGCCGGTCCCTGCCGGGCGCCGGTCACTGACCATGAGCAGCTCCAGCGCGCAGGAGGCGCGCACGGTAGTGGTCGGTGCCGGCTGCCACTGGTAAGTAGTTGGTGATCATGGTGTTGGTGTCGCCGCGGTGGAAGGAGGCGGTGCGGCAGAACGTGCGCCCGGTCGGCAGCTGCGCCACGCGGATGTCGGGCCACTGGTGCGGCGGCAGCGGCGCGTACTGCAGCCGCGTGCGCGCGCCCTCGTACAGCTGCACCGCCCCCGCCTGACACACGTTGCCCTGACGAAGCGAAAGGGGTTCAGAAGGGGAGGCGATCGGCATCGGTCGGCACGGCAAGACCTGCCGCCCTTAGTGGTGAACGCTGTCACGTATGAAAGAAATCTGACCCGGACGGTTATCACCAAGCGTTGTTCCCTGTGAGAACAGTGTACACCTGGGGGTATGTAGGATGAGCTACATGCCATGCCTCAGACGGCTGGTAATATCCAGCCCCACTTCCTCGAGGTGTGACTCCGCTCCACTGCACCTGTCAAAAGCGCAGCTTCAGTCAGCTGACTCAGACCGTCCGGCTGACGTGAGCCGGCGTCGCCTCCGACGCAGCTCCCGCCCTGGACCCGGACCCGGCGACCTTCCTGGACCCGGACCCAGTGATCCACCGAACCCCCATCTGGTGACCCACCTGGACCAGCATCTGCATGTAGAGGCGCGCTCGGAAGGCGCGGCTGAACTCCTTAAGGCCTTCTTCGGTGACGGCCAGCAGAGCGCGGTGCTTATCGAGCGCCATCCAGTGTCGCTGCTTCAGCACCTTCAGGCGCAGGTCTCTGTCCGGCGGAGGAGGCGCACGGTGAGGCAACGCACGGGGCGGAGCGCCGCTGCACGTTTCCCCTCGGCCCGTCCCGCACGCCGTGGGAGCGGGGCTGACCCCACCGTCGGCCACCCTAACGCTCCACGCGCTAACAACGACTCCTGGCGATAGCTCGAGGCGCGCCGCCAACGTATACCTCCCCTCCTCACCACCACGCCCCCCCCCCCCCCCCCCTCAACGGCCGATGGGATGCCCTATGGACTGTGTGAGGGATTTACGGCCGCGACAGCCAGTGGCCAAGACCTGGGATGGAGCTGGTGCAGGTGTACGCTGATCCGACAGGAGCGCGGACACGGGCCGAACGGGCAACACGCGGAGCATTGAGATCACGTGCAAACCACGGTCAATGCTTTGGGATTCAGCTTGCAAGACATCGTTGTTAACCCCGTTATTAGCCACCAGGTCGCCACTATTGGAGCGTGGCTATCATTGGTCAAGACATAGAAGTCAAGGGAGAGCGGTTTTTGTTTTTCTTTTTTCGTCAAATGCCGCGGTGCGATGCCTATACATGCCACAGACCAGTTTATGGACGCGGAATACGAGTGAGCACCAGCCCACCTGATGTAACACATGCTAGTGTGCTCACTTGCACGAGTTGGTGGGCTTCAGGAACCAGTTGTAGTACGCTTTGAGCTGCTCCGTCTTGAGCATGTTGAACATTTCCGAGTCGAAAACCTTCGTTTCGAAGTTGGCAATGTGGTCGATTATGACATTCACTAGGTCCTGAAACCATCCTGAACTTCAGGGAATGCAGTGGGTTCTCCAGCACGACATTTACGGCGCGTAAAACCTAGCTATACATGTCATTTTAATATGAGCCAAGCCATCATTACAATGAAACGCAGAACGATTCTATGCTGCTGCCAGACGAAGCGCAAAGAAAGGTGTGGTCCAAGCTTTCCGACATCATAGTTGCTGACACAGCAGCTCCATCCCCGGCTGAAAATGATCATTTCCAAACGGACCATGGCAGTCGCCTGACGATGGCACACAACGACTGAGCTGGCTCTGCTAACAGGTGAGAGGATCGTAGGATGCCCCCGCCCCCCCCCCCCTCCCCCCATAAATGTCTGAATGATAGCAAGGGTGGCAAGCAGGATAGCACTCCACAAGATAACTCTGGCATCGGCATATTTGCTGAGTTGCGACCCTAAGACGTACTCGAGTCTCTATAGGCAGCTCTTGGGCCATAGAACACCTACAAGCAGTAGAGTGCACCACACTAAAGCTGGCACGAAGAATGTTCCGTTATAAACATGGTTTTGGTGCAGAGAAGCATTGAGCCCATGTTGATAGGAAGACTGCGGTTCTGACCGGTCCGACCAGCACCAGCACCAGCACCAGCACCAGCACCAGCACCAACACCAGCGCCAGCGCCAGCGCCAGCGCCGCCACCGCCGCCGTACCGGTAGCTTCTCGCTGAAGCCGTCGACGCGGATGGTATAGCCCCGCTCGCTCGACTCGAGTCGGTAGTTGAGTCGCGCCGCCGTGGCCGGGTACAGCGTCTCCGTCAGATGATGCGTCAGCATGTTGTCCATCAGGTCCAGCATGGCGGCGCTGCGGCGGAGGGAGGGATCAGGGGTCAGGGGATGCACGGTCACTGTCATACGATGTCATGCACGGTCACTGTACGATGCACGGTCACTTTCTTACGCAGGTAAAACTTTAGGCCTGTCCTTTTACTGGGGCGGCAGTTGAAGAACTTGCTAGAGTCGGCATGACAACGCACGTATACTGCAATCGAGAAGAACGCCGTTGGAATGGGGCGGAGATTGGGGAGTTTAACGACCGCCAGCTGCTGCAACTTAAACACGACACGACTCACCAAGCACATGCATCACAAGGCGCTTCGCCTCACAGCCAGATAATCGGCGATAAGACAATCACAGCCAGATAGCCAAACCAATCGTCACTGCAAAGGCCTCGTGTTGCTTCATCCTATTCCTACTCCTACCCCCCCCCCCCCCCCTGCCTTTCGTACAGCGGCCACACTCACTTCAGCGCTGACTGGACGGGCAGGTCGGAGCACAGTCGGATGCAGATGTAGGCGCGCGGCAGGTTGAACTTGCAGTCGCGCCGGTGGAAGAGCTCGCCGTCCGGCCGGCGGATGACGGCGCGCGGGTGAGAGCAGTGCGGCACGTCCTCCGCCACCAGCTCGAACGAGCGCGCCACGAACGGGTTCACCTCGGGCACGTAGAAGCTGGCCTCGAGCGAGGAGAGGTCGCGCCAGCGCGCCTGCCACTCGGCCGGGATCTCTGGCGGCGGGGCAGGCGATCGGGGTCTGTCAGCCGCGCCCACCCGCCAGACCCGTCACGGAAACACAGACACCGCGACTGTGCATCACGGCTGAGTGGTCACACAGAACCGTCACGGAAACACAGGAGACCGCGACTGTGCGTCACGGCTGAGTGGTCACACAGAACCGTCACGGAAACACAGAGACCACGACTGTGCGTCACGGCTACGGGGCTCACACGGAGGCGACGCCTCAGCACGTCACGCTGCCAGCCTAGCGCACTTACGCAGAAACAAACATTAAAATACGAGCCCCGTCTTGTATTTGGCGACCGTCACAGACAGCCGTCAAGCCTCCGTCCCATGACACGAAAAGATGTGTCACTTGTGATGCACGGAATAATAACCTCGATCGGGGCATCCAATACGCCAAGCCGCGCCATACCACGTCAGCCTTTTCAGTACCAAACGAACAAAGCTACCTCCAGTCAAATCCTGCGCGACAGCTTTCCCCCGCCCTTTATGCTCACCCTGCTCCGAGTAGCGCGTGCCGAACCAGGGCTCAGTCAGCACACACTCGCCCGATTCCTCGAACGTGCGGGAGCTCAGCATGATGTGACAGTTGGTCGGCAGCATGGCGTCCTGGCACGAGGCGATCAGCTGCCGGTGCGGGATGGGTCGGCGTCAGAGCCCGCCTCGGCCGACCGGACCGCGCGCCGAGGTCACGGGGGGCGGGCGGGGGGGGGGGGGGGCAGAGGACTTCTTGGCCTGCACGGGTACAGGCAGCGTGCGTTTTACCACGACTCGGAGCGGTGCGGGCGTCATGAGTGGGCTTACGATCACGAGTCATGAGTCACAAGCGCCGTCACGCCTATTACGGGCCACCACAGCTGCACTAACGCGCCCTCTTCGACGCCTCTTCGGGCAAGGTAGACGCTTCTTGTGTCTGATAGACACAAACACATCCAGAGTTTGTGTTCACCGGCGACCGCCGGCGGCTGCCAGAGTCGCGGAATAACAACCGGCTGTTGATGGAAGAGTCGCCCCTGCCTGGCCGCCGTCGGGCCAGCGAAGAGCGGCCACCGCAGCGTCACCTCACCTGGTGGTCGTAGTTGAAGAGCAGCACGTCGCCGCAGATGAAGTCCTCCGGCGCGTAGTTCTGCATGTTGTCCGCCATCGACTGCACCCAGTCCTGCGGGGACGATTCCTCCTGGTACCGGAAGCTGATCTGCGGGGGCGCGCGGCGTTAGAGCGGCTCGGCTCGCGCCGCACCAAAACCCAAACGAAAACCTACGCACCATCGGACTTCAAACAACATTGCCTGCCGTACCAGCCATCTCACCCACTCACCTGCCTTACCAGCCATCTGACCCGCTTCTGCCCGCACCGCCACAACGCCGGCTGTCTGGCCCCTCACCCAGAGTCCGACGGGATTCCAGCCCACGTCCGGCACCGCCCACCTGGTCGATGTCCTTGATCTCGTCGTAGATGCGCTGCTGCGGACCCAGGCGCCGCAGCATGGCCATGTACGCCCAGATGGCGGCCAGCACGTCGGCCACGTGCTCCAGGCCGGCGTCCGTCAGCCGCACGTTTACGTAGTAGCACGAGGTGGCCGAGTTGTGCTCGAAGCCCGACTCGCTGTTGCCGCTCACCAGGCTGACGGCCCACATTCTGGCGGAAGGGAAGGGGAGGGGGTCAGGTCACACAGACAAACACGTCATTGTGTGAATCAATCTGATGTGTCAGCTTACTTGGACAATCGGGTCACTATGTCAACCTGACAGACCTGGTCATGTCGACAGTCAGGTCATCCTGACAGCTGGGTCATTTTGACAGCTGGATCATTCTGACGATTGGGTCAATCTGACGGCTGGGTCATTCTGACAGTTCGGTCATTCTGACAGCTGGGTCAATCTGACGGCTGGGTCATTCTGACAGTTGGGTCATTCTGACAGCTGGGCCATTCAACCAGCTGGGTCAATCTGACGGCTGGGTCATTCTGGCAGTTGGGTCATTCTGATAGCTGGGCCATTCTAACAGCTGGGTCAATCTGACGGCTGGGTTATTCTGACAGCTGGGTTATTCTGACAGCTGGGTCATTCTGACAGCTGGGTCAGTCTGAGATCCATCTAGGCGTCGTGTGATCCTGACAATCGTGTTATGTGGACGATCTCGAGTTTGCGTTGGTTTCACGAAGCTAGTTGCTGCTAGCAATCGAGCCCTAGTCTGAGCGCAAACTATTCCCATGCGATGTCCAACCAACAACTGCCGACGGAACAAACTGGCGCAGATGATGCTAAGCCCAAGTCAGACTCCACCACAAGCGGAGCAGATTCCGCGCAAGAACAGTCCCCAGCTACGTGACTGCCCACCTCACCTGGCTGCCTCCCCCCCCCCCCCCCCCGAACACGCACTACCCGACTGAGGGTCAGCCGGCGTGCGCCCGCCCCACGCAAAGCAGCTGACCTGTGCTTGAGGTACGAGAGGATGCTGCCGCGGCCCTCGTGGCCCATCAGCCATGAGATGTAGTTGAGCGGCCGTGTGCGGTAGTGCTTCATCATGCTGGGCAGCTGCCAGGTAATGGTCAGCTGATGGCGGTCCTTGACGGGCAGCAGCTTGTACAGCCGGTGGAAGCGCGCCGGGTCCCAGGGCTGGCCGTGGCTGGCGAACGACGGCCGCGGCTCGGCCGTGGCTGGCACCTCGCTGAAGATCTCCACCACCTGGCCGGCCCCAGGCGGAGGGTCAGGTACAGGCAGGGACCAACTGAAGATCTCCACTACCTGGCCGGCCCCAGGCGGAGGGTCAGGTACAGGCAGGGACCAGCTGAAGATCTCCACCACCTGGCCGGCCCCAGGCGGAGGGTCAGGTACAGGCAGGGACCAGCTGAAGATCTCCACCACCTGCGGCGGCCCCCAGGCGGAGGGTCAGGTACAGGCAGGGACTGTGCAGCTGAAGATCTCCACCACCTGGCCGGCCCCAGGCGGAGGGTCAGGTACAGGCAGGGACCAGCTGAAGATCTCCACCACCTGGCCGGCCCCAGGCGGAGGGTAAAGTACAGGCAGGGACCAACTGAAGATCTCCACTACCTGGCCGGCCCCAGGCGGAGGGTCAGGTACAGGCATGGACCACTGAAGATCAATCTCACCACCTGGCCGGCCCCAGGCGGAGGGTAAAGTACAGGCAGGGACCAACTGAAGATCTCCACCACCTGACCGGCCCCAGGCGGAGGGTAAAGTATAGGCAAGGACCAACTGAAGATCTCCACCACCTGGCCGGCCCCAGGCGGAGGGTAAAGTACAGGCAGGGACCAACTGAAGATCTCCACTACCTGGCCGGCCCCAGGCGGAGGGTCAGGTACAGGCAGGGACCAGCTGAAGATCTCCACTACCTGGCCGGCCCCAGGCGGAGGGTCAGGTACACACGGGGACCGGCTGTCCGTGCGTGGGGAGAAGTGGTGCAAAGGACCCCGCGGCGGTTGCGCTGCTTTGCGGCGCGTTCGGCCGGCAGCTAATCTCGCAGAATCGTCCGGAATGTGGGAAGTCTCCGGAACGGTGTTCGGCGCCGCCAAGACATTGCGTGTCGAGGGGGAACCCCGGCTAATTTGAGCGCATGGTCAAGACGGACAACGTCTTTTCGCCATGCCTAGCTCCTATGATTGTAGGCTATGCATGGCGCAGGTGAGACAAAACTGGGGAGGATCCCCGGGCCCGCCGAATTTAGATGAAAATTTCCATGGGTTATCATAAGAGACAATTATTCGTCGAGTAGTTTTCCCTCCGCAAACGTGTCCTGGGTTGCGCGAAGGACCACGCGCTGTCACGTCGATTACGGAACTGCGGCGTAGTCACCAAAAGTGGCCTTTCATACCAGCTCTTCTCACAGTCAGAGCGGATTTTCAGCCGTCACCAGGCCAATAAATGACACTGATCTTAGCCGCACAAACTCTTCACTTCCACCGGGCCTATAAATGACAATGATCTCAGCCACATAAACTCTTCACTAAGTGAAGAGTTTATGTGGCTGTGTGTGTTTGTGGTCGGTGTGGCGACCACACCGACCACAAACAAGATGCAACAAATTTCTGAACTATGCTGGCTCACACCCAAGCCAGCATCAACTCGCTTCCAGGAGCTAACGATTCATGCATGACCTAGAGTTCACCACTGAAACGTCCACCGGGCGGCCAGCTACATACCCTTGAGTCGGCGTAGCCACTGACACTCGCCGCCCCTTCCCTGATCTCAACACGCCAATGACTCCCGCCGCTCCCGTACTCCTACGCGTCACTGGCCCCGCTGCTCTCCTCCCTGACCCCCGTCCCGCCCCCCTCCCGACCCTCACACGCTACTGACCCCGCCGCTCCCCTCCCTGACCCCCACACGCCACTGACCCCCGCCCCGCCCCCGTCCCGACCCTCATACGCCACTGACCCCGCCGCTCCCCTCCCTGACCCCCATACGCCACTGACCCCCGCCCCGCCCCCCTCCCGACTCTCATACGCCACTGACCCCGCCGCTCCTCTCCCTGACCCCCACACGCCACTGACCCCCGTCCCGCCCCCGTCCCGACCCTCACACGCTGCTGACCCCGCCCCGCCCCCCCCTCTCTGACCCCCACACGCCACTGGCCCCCGCCCCGCCCCCCTCCCGACCCTCACACGCTGCTGACCCCGCCGCTCCCCTCTCTGACCCCCACACGCCACTGACCCATTGCTGGAGCGTGTCGAGAGACTGGTCGGCCTGCACTGCTAGCGTCATGTACGGCGCGCGGTAGTAGTGACGCCAAAACTCGTGCAGGCGGCCGTGCATCTGCTCGTCGCTCAGACCCGTGCGCGTCTCGCTCAGCGACTTCAGGTTGCCCCAGGTGAACTTGGCCATCGGGTGGCCGGCCCGCGCCAGGCCGGCCAGTAGCTGGTCGGCCCGGTTGGAGTCGTCCGGCTGCGCCTCCAGGAACTCTGCCGGCGCGGAGGCGGCAGTGGTGATCGGAGCTGCAGAGCAGGAGGGCAGCCGGGAGAACAGTGCAGGTCGCACGTGACGTTTTCAAGCGGGTTTGGAAGTGTAACCGCCCGCGGCCAACACAATGATGTCTTTCGTCCTGAAATAGTCCTCGCAATGCCCGCTTCAAACCGTAATATGCGACGTTCAGCCGCGTTTCATGAAACGCCTTTTGTCTAATCGATTTATGTTCCTAGCTATCTCCACTTAGTCCATATGTGACCAACGCCTTTTCTCCTCTGGGGCGGCCGGAGTAAGCCCGTGCTGGGGACCGCAAGCGAGTTGCGTTGTTGGGCAGCGCCTCATGGCGGAGAGCGCCCAACAACGTCAGATGGTGGACGGTTCCGACACTGTGGACTGGTGCGGCCATTGTTGGGCGGCGCCTCATGGCGGAGAGCGCCCAACAACGTCAGATGGTGGACGGTTCCAACACTGTGGACTGGTGCGGCCGTTGTTGGGCGGCGCCTCATGGCGGAGAGCGCCCAACAACGTCAGATGGTGGACGGTTCCGACACTGTGGACTGGTGCGGCCGTTGTTGGGCGGCGCCTCATGGCGGAGAGCGCCCAACAACGTCAGATGGTGGACGGTTCCAACACTGTGGACTGGTGCGGCCATTGTTGGGCGGCGCCTCATGGCGGAGAGCGCTCAACAAAGTCAGATCGTGGACGGTTCCGACACTATGGACTGGTGCGGCCATTGTTGGGCGGCGCCTCATGGCGGAGAGCGCCCAACAAAGTCAGATCGTGGACGGTTCCGACACTATGGACTGGTGCGGCCATTGTTGGGCGGCGCCTCATGGCGGAGAGCGCCCAACAACGTCAGATCGTGGACGGTTCCGACACTATGGACTGGTGCGGCCATTGTTGGGCGGCGCCTGATGGCGGAGAGCGCCCAGCGTCAGATGGTGGACGGTTCCGACACTGTGGACTGGCGCGGCCATTGTTGGGCAGCGCCTCATGGCGGAGAGCGCCCAACGTCAGATGGTGGACGGTTCCGACACTGTGGACTGGTGCGGCCATTGTTGGGCGGCGCCTCATGGCGGAGAGCGCCCAACAAAGTCAGATCGTGGACGGTTCCGACACTATGGACTGGTGCGGCCATTGTTGGGCGGCGCCTCATGGCGGAGAGCGCCCAACAACGTCAGATCGTGGACGGTTCCAACACTGTGGACTGGTGCGGCCATTGTTGGGCGGCGCCTGATGGCGGAGAGCGCCCAACGTCAGATCGTGGACGGTCCCGACGCTGTGGACTGGTACATGGCGATATTCGCGGGTGATATTCGCGGTGAGTAGTGCGTCCAGTGAACAGAGCCGGTAGACAGGTCGACTCTGGGCACGGACAGTAGCTGCATGATGTAATGGTAGGGAAGCGTCTCATACAGCTCACTTCAGTATCCCTTCCACTACCTAACAGTAATTATACAATGCATTGGGTAACACGGCAAAGTTAAAACACCACTCACTCACGAAAGCCCACCGCAACCCCGCCTCTCACCGTTCTCCACCGCCTGTCGCTCGCGCTGCATGCTGCTCTTCCGCATCAACGCCACCCTCGCCTCTCACCGTTTTCCATCGCCTGCCGCTAGCGCTGCATGCCGTCCTTCCGCATCAACGCCACCCTCGCCTCTCACCGTTTTCCATCGCCTGCCGCTAGCGCAGCATGCCGTCCTTCCGCATCAACGCCACCCTCGCCTCTCACCGTTCTCCACCGCTTGCCGCTCGCGCTGCATGCTGTCCTTCCGCATCAAAGGTGAGATGAAGAACTGGGCGAACCGGTCGAGAGCCTCGCGCAAGTGCAGCGAGTTCACGTCGAAGTAGAACGCCGTCTGCTCGCAGTCCGTGTGCGCGTTGGTCGTTCCCCCGCTGTTCTGCACGGCACGACACCAGTCACGGTGAGCATAGTAGCGTACGTCAAGTCCCCCCCCCCCGCGACAGAAAAACGGAAAGAAGTCACGATGAGAAATATGCACAGACATATACATACGATTACGATACATGCAGATACAGACACATAAATACGATTACGACACATGCAGATACAGACATATAAATACGATTGAGATGGTACATAGAACGTTTTATAACGCTGGTCATTGCACTGTTCCATGAGAGCCCCTTACGCTCAAACTTTGCTCCTGGGTCTATAATGTACGTCACAACCTTACGATGTCAAGGTGTGGGAGATGCACGTGTCTGTGAAACGGCACCACGATATAAACCAGTGACGCACCTTAACAAAAACGTCAAAGCTGTTCTCCTCCGGATACTTCTTGTTGCCCATGAACACCATGTGCTCGACGAAGTGCGCGAGGCCCTCGATGTCGCTGGGCTCGGCGAAGCTGCCGCAGCCGATGGAGAGAGCCGCGGCCGCCTGCCCGCACACATGGAGACTCTCGGTACACGGACCGACACCGCCGACGGCGATCGCCGACCGCACAGGGCGGCACGCTGTGCACAGAGCGCGCCGCGCAGCACAGCACGGCATCGCGGACGCAGCGGGCACAGCGGCCTCTTCCATCGGCCGCGTAACCCACGCAGAGTACGGATCGCATGGCTTATACATACGGGCCTTCTACCATACGAGGGCCGTGGTGCTGGCGCAAGGCGGCCCTTATAGTATCATAGCGATATCATGGGGGAGAACATATCTAGAACGGAAAACGACCTGGCACAGAACGATAAGATATCCAAACTATTTGGGCGTGGCTGAATGCTCATACTGAACTGAGCACGGCGAATCAAGGCAAACACGTCGGGGTGGAGGACAAATGGCGCAATGTGTGGGGCGAGCTGCAGCATGTGACGCGACGCGCCACTAGACCACTGGCTGGACATGACAAGACATGACATTCTGCCATTACAGGGGGCGGCGGAGGGGGGGGGGGAGGGTGCATAGCACAGCATAATGCACTGCGCACACCGCACAGCGCGCAGCGAGATGCAGTGCACCTGACCGCTACGGCGCACCGCCTGGTGGAGTACTTTGATCGAACTTCGGAATACTGTTGGGAACCGAGCAAACCGAGAACATCGAACATATCATTCAGGTGCTAAACCAAACCGATACGAAATATACTGACCGATCAGTTTAGACTAAATATGCCATCATTTCGAAAAATGAACATGGCGCCTAAGCAGTCTGCGGGAATACGCTGGATTAGTACCCTAGCAGTGCTCGGTATGAGTCCCAAAACAGGCGCACTTGTTTGTCCTGCCTGAGAAGGAAGGGTCAACTGGCAATCGCCCAAAGCGGGCCAATCCGGTTCGGGGCAGCCATGGCATAGCATTGCATGGCACAAACACTCCTCAGTCCCAACAGGCAAAACGACTGGGGGGGGGGGGGGAGTTATTCAATGCAGTTGGAACGGTATTACTTCGGCGGTGGGCTCAAGCCACGTGCTGTGCTGCTTAGCAAGGTGTTCTGAACCCGACATCACTTCTGCCAGCCTTTGAAAGCAAGTGACATTTCAAAATCAGCATTGTTTGCTCAGGCCAAGTCCTTCGTTTTCGCCCCGTGCAGGATGCCATGAAGCCATAACAGAGATCAGCCATCACATCTGCCATGAATTGCGAGCCTGAGTCTACAGACCGGGCGGCGTTCGAACCATTTTCTCATCGCTCTCGTCCTCGCTGTCCTCGTTGTCCGAGTCCTGGTGCGTCCTCCGCGCTGCTGGCCTCTGGAACACAGCCGACACGGGGGCGTGACGGCCCTGCTGGGAAAGCCTCGGACCGGGCTCGCCTGCCTGCTCTTACAGCAGCCGACAAGCGCTGGCGCCGTTACCGGCGTCGCTGGCGCTCCGTGAGACGGGACGGCAGCCAGCACGTGACGCCACCGGCTACATGGCCGCCAAGTGGCGCACGTTGCGCGTGACCCAGCGGCGCAGGTCGCGCGGGGCTGGAACCCCTCAAGAGCGAGCTCTTCCGGCCCGGTCCGGCCATGTGGACATTCACGAGGAAACGCACCATACCTAGCCTGCTTTGTATTTTCATAGCACGCGAATCACGAGCTCTATCCCATTTTGCGCCATAGTACACGTGTTGTCTAGAAACACATTACGCAGTCTGCTACTGACAGGGTCCAACGACAAACACTGGATGCAGCTCAACTTTCAAAACACTCGAGGCAAGTCGGTTTATGTATAAAATTGTGCTTAATAGGTCATAAATATCTACACATTGTTTCCAACACCACAGCTACCTTTAAGCCGTCAGCTTTTACGAAGGTCGACGTATCATAGGGCTTATCATCAGTACCATCACAAAATGATAAACCAACATCTTCAGACTAAGAAGTTCAGCAATGCATACCTTCTTCACCATGGCGATGCTTCATGCTGGTTCTGCTGTTGCTTTCCAGAGGAGGACGAAGATCCTGATATGAGCAAGGCCCTTAAACCATTTGGAAGCTTGATGGCTCTGGAGCATGGAAAAGTCGAACTTAGTGGATTACTGGCAGCTGCAATCACATGTTTGAGCTCAGCAGAAGAGAAACAACATGAAAAGAACAACACATCCCATGTGTGCAGCCCTACATGTATAGTTAGAGATAACAGATAAGGTCAGGGACAAATTGACATGATGCTATGGCTGATGGCACATATAGCATGGGAAGTGAAGTGGATATAAGCCCTGCACCCCGGTCGTCTCCCTGGTTCCACAGTGACTCGATGATCTATGCTAAAAAAAAAGCATATCAAACAATGGCTGTCTATACCTGTACTCCCTCTTGTCATTTTCTGATTGCACCGGCTTTGGCAAAACTTCACAGCTGCTGCTTAATGTTCCTATAGAGGGTGCCATGCTTTCTTGAATGCCGCTACTGCGAGCTTTCTTTGTTTTGTTATTTTCACTCAAAATGTTCTGTCTCTTCATCAGCCTTCCCAAACAACTGCTCAAATGGTTGCTTGATGCTTGTGACCGCCTTGCCTGCCTTGTTAGTAAATGAAATTGCTTCAATAATGTATTTTGATAAAATATCACACATTGGAACACTCCAGTATATTTCCTGGAACGGATTCTGTGTGAAACAAAACTGAATGGTGACAAGCCATCCACACTTCAGCACAATCATCCAAAAACCACAAGATCCATAATATGAGACATCTAAAGAGGAAGACATTTGTGATCAGATAATGATGATGATGATTTGGGGATTTAGGGCGCATCGACTGCTAAAGGTCATGCAGCGCCCATAACTATGTGATCAGATAAACACATCACCAAACTGAAATGGCGTTCCATGCCATTCTCAATGCAGCTTCTGGCAAGATTACTCAAGGAGGGAGGGAGGGGGGCTTGGGGCACGCCAACATCCGCAGTCACCACTGAGGACACTGCTCGGTGCTGTCAGAGGGCTGGTGAGGAGCATCAACAGCAGATAAACATCACCGACAACAGCTATAAGATTATCTCCGGCCCTTGATCACTGTTAGTCATGATCTACCGGTGACACAGCTTCAGTGGTACAGTGTGGACCTGACAGGGTCATAGGCTAGCTGAGTGATCAGAGACAGGTGGTACACTGAGGACTGATGACCCTACCAGTAATCCATGGGGTACACCAGGGATTCATAGTCAGTCAGCTCTTTGCTTGCCTTGTTCCTTAGTGACTTGTCCAGCCACATGCCACATTGATGCCTCCCTCATCCCATATGCAGATGGCACACCCAGCTCTGGGACCATGCTCCTCCCACCACTTGGAGCCACAAACAACCAAATACAAATGAGAACACAGTAACAAGCTAACAAACACTTTTGTATGACAAGCACATCACCAGTCATGCAACAATGCCAGTTCAAATGCAGGCATATATTTTCACCTTGCTGTGCATTCTAAGGCATTACTTAACAGCTGATTTCTGCAAATTAAAATCAATGCTTACATTATCCCACACATCTAAGGCCACTATGTGTATAGGGTGTAATGAGCATGGTGGCTTAAATGTCAGGTGCATACAAAAGTCTTTTGACACCAGCATTGTCTCTACAATTAAACACACCCAACAGACAACACCAACTCTGGAGGCTCTGGGCAGGCCCCAGATTGATGGCTTCATGGAGGAGAAGAAAACTGTAGAAAAATTCAAAGCACTGGGACACAAACAATTATGGGCACCTTTAAGCTGTGCAATCACTTTTTGAGCCATGATCCTATGTTTCAACAATGGATACATGCTCCTCCAAGCTGGCATCCCTCTACCTACCTTATTGCCAGCTGGGCACCACCAAACAGGCTTTCCTTTACTGCACCATGGTAGCATTGGACAGCTGCCTCCCACCACCACTATGTCTCCATGTGTTGAGACATTATGGTATAATATGTTATGGTGTTATAATGAATAATGTCATAAAAATATATAATGAATAATGTTATTTCAACATGCAAATGTTAGGATACATATCTTGGTTTTGAGATCATGCTGGTGGCCTGTCTTACTGTCTGTTTACATCATGCCATTCTGCAGGTTTATGTAGTCCCCCATGCTTGCACTTTGAATTAATTTATCCTTACATGCATACTTGGCCACAAGCTGTTTCTCAGATTACCATATTCGCTTAAAGAATGTCATGTTGATCTCAAACATAATTTTCATTTCACCTTGAGCATATTTTAGTATCAAGCACACATTTTAGTATTAAGAGCATATCTTAGTGTCATGTGCATATCATGGCATGTGACATAATGGTTTATTCAACCAAGCACCATAAACATGATAAGTCAAATGCCTGAAAAGCTGCCCTGTGGATGAACTTTGGGGACATACATACCACAAATATAAAGGATTATACATAAATACAAAGGCAAAGGGTTATGCATAACTACAAAGGTAATATGTGTCATTGCATATGCCACATGAGGCATATGATTTTGTGCACCTCCATGACAATGATCATTCTTTTAGGCACATTGTTGGCATGTCTCTGAGCCATTTTTCATCTGTGTGGTCTAGGGGAAGATGCTGGACTACTTATAATCTAGTAATACAGGGTATGAGTCCCAAGCAGGCACATTGGCCAGACTGAAATGGAATGGCCAGCTGGCAACTGGCCAACATGGGCCAATCCTTAGCCCATGACTGTGTTGCAGCATTGTGCAGCACCTAAAGCCCTTCATATTTCTGATAAAAGGGTAGAGACAAAATGATCTGCTCAACTGGATAGTGGGTTATGCGCATGCAAAAACCTATGCTTAGCAGGTACTGACCCAGTGGTAACACAACATGGCAAAGGTCAAGCAAGACCATAATTGCAAAGCATGGCCTGACATAACAATATTTTTGGTGCAATAGTCCAGAAAATAAAATTTTGGAGTAGAGCTCTTTAAACAAGCTGGCTGCACTGCCATGTGGCAGGTCATGCTATCACTGGGCATTTCATGCTATTATTAAATAGGTCATATTCCGCTAGGCAGGTCATACCACCATTGGGAGGGTCATATTACCATTGGGTGGTTCATGAGAACATTTGGCAGTTCACCCTATGAGCAAGCATCCATGCTAACATTGGGCATTGCATGCTAATGTTACACATTTTATGCCACCATTGGGCATTTCATAGTATAAAGAAAGTACAATGGTAGCAAATAGAGCAGTTATGCTACCATTGGGTAGTTTGTCCTACTCTTGGGCAGTTCATGGTTCTAGTAACTCACATTAAGAATAGGAGAGACCAGATTCTGGGCAAGGATTTGGTTGGCAGATGGTTTGGTTTGGTTTGGTTTGGTTGGCAGATGTTGAACAAAATAGATAAGACTCCACCAAAAATTTGAGATTTAATCTAGGTTTTATACGTGTAACGCATGGATCACTATCGCTTCACATCACATGCAACCTCAGTTACAAACCAAATACATTCTTTCATGAGCTTCCGTTCATTAAGGCAACGCTAGGGTAATGAATTCATATAATAACGGAAAACTAATTGCATGTCGTTACACTTCTAGCCATATTTGTTTGACAACAGGCTTAAAACATTTTCACCTATGCTATTCACTTCAGCTAAAGGTGTTAGCTGTGACTTTACCTAATTTTGCACACCAACCGCCGCCTCAACCCACGCTCCGCCACGCAATCACCGACCCCCTACCTTGCTTGCGTTGCTCGCGCCGGCTTACGGTAATACCCTGCGCGAGACCGTGTTCCGTGGTGGTTTCATTTACCAAATTTATCATAATAGCCTAAATTGTAATTGAAAGCTCTATCTTTTTATTTTTTTAAACAAAAACATATTTTATTGTTTTGAGAGAGATTTAAAACATAAGTAATGCGTATTACAGAAAATCAAACGAGATGTTTGTTGCCTTTACGTCATATACCTTGCAGCATTTTCAATCGAAATAATGGTGATCTGATATATATGCCCCTACTGCGCAGGTTTGAGTTAGATTCCAAACCGCGAAATATCGGCGAATGTCAGCCACAATGAAGAAAGCACACAATACTCTTATCAGGAGCTGGGTGCGGTTGTCAGTTCGCCTGCTGTCCCGGACTTTGCTGGTCGTTTCGTTTGGAATTTTTGTTTCCAATCTGTGATCTTTGATCAGTTCTGGTAAGTCAGGGAGCAGTTGGGTTTTAGCAAGCGTTTGCCATTGTGATGTCTACTCTGGACAAATCCATCCACTATGATTGACGACTACGGGATATCGGTGGATATCGCTGCGTTGAACCCCGCGCTCGCGCGCACCGAACTGAGGGCGAGCCACCCTGAGCTGAATATCCAGAGCTTGCTGTATGATGAATAGTTGGGGAGTTCTTGCCCATCACAATTCCCTGTAACATCAGCTCTCTATGCATTGAAATTGGTTCCGACCATTTGTCAAACTCTTGGTAGTTTGGACTTATGATTAGCATGCACTGAAAATTAATGCTGTAGTACTGCTGCCATGTTATGTATGTTTTGTGTAACATACGTACTTTGCATTCTGGCCTCTTGTCCATCCTACCATTTGTGTAGGATGGCCTGCCTGCCCGTCATACACAAATGGGGTCATATAGAAGTAATTTATTACTTCCACTGAGTTGGGGCAAGCAATGAATGGCTTGTGAACACTGACTCATCCAATTTTCACCCTGTGTTTCAGCTGCTCTGTTTCTATGAGATGTGAATAATATTAGTTATTTTGTTAGGTTAGCATTTTTGCATGAATTGTATAATTTTATGTTGATGTGCATGATGTTGGGCCAAGTTAGGCTGAATTCCCACCCTGTTTTGAAATAACTTCCAAATAATTTTGGCATCATTCTCCATCCAGTTTGATCAAATATGGTTCAGCATCTGTGCTGATCCATTCCAGGGTGCCCCAGGGATTTATGGCTGGGCTGATTCTTTTTGCCCTATTCACAAATGACCTTCACTGTCACTGGGCTGTTGAGTGATAGCATAGGCAGGTGACTCCCATCTGCTCAATCACTTGTGGCCTGGTCCTCAAAATCTAGAACCACCAAGATATTGTGTTGAAAACTAAGTGTAGCTGGTTTGGTGATAAAATTATCATTGTGCTCTGACTGCTGCATTTGGCCATCAACCCATGCATGTCCTGGGACATATTCATTGGTTACTTTGCCAGAAGGTGCAGTGCCCTTTTCATATATCTTTGTTGATTCCACCACTGATTTAACCAGGAAATGTTAAAGTAACTGATTGAAACACAGCCATTTCCCACATTTTGTACAGCATTACAGTGTCAGGTGGAACAACAAAAAATCTTCTAGCCCAGGCTGAAAGAGTTATACGCATCATTGTATGGATTGTGATTGGTGTGTGGCTTCAGGGGATGGTTGGTCCAGTGTTTTCATCCCTGGTTGGAGCCAGGTGGAGCAGCTAGTGCAAGAGAGGAGCCTTCTTAAAGCTTATAAAGTGCTTTTCAACCAGCTCAGTCCCCTGTTGATTTGTTGCATGTTTGTCCCTCCATCCACTGTGTCATGCTGGGCCACCCATTCATCTGAGGCTTGAGCTCTGGAACTGCCGAGGTGTCAACTCTCGGTCTTATGGAGTGGGGTCCTCACTATTGTGCTGCCACCTTGTGGAACCAGCTGCCTCCGGCTGTCGCTGCGCATCCAATACCATCTTTGTTCCATGCATCGCTGACAGCACTGGGGTCCTGGGAGCCAGTCATGTTGTGTTTGTCCGCATTGATGATTCTCAAGTGCTGCACTGTGTTATGAATTTTACTCGCATTGTATGCATGTACCTGTATATCATTCATAAAGACATACAGACAAAACAGATGTCTGGCCAACAAAGAGCCACAGGGGCCCATCAAGGTTGGCCTGCCTCAAGTTCTGCACACATCCTTGAAACAAAGCTTAACACCTGAACTGCCTGATTTTAGCTGTAAATGAGGTCTTAAGACTGATAGAACTTGTTTAAACAATTTGAAATGTTGCCAGAGAGGGGCTTGCTACAAGTTTGTTTGGTAGTTTGTTCCAATGATTCAAGTTGTGGCTAAATGATATGTCTGTTGTTACAACAAGTGTTGCCATTTTATCTTGATGTAGTTTGCCTTGCTTTGTGACCCTCTGTTTTATATCTTGGGTGTGAAGATGTTGATTCCGAAATACTATACCGCATGGATGCACTAATGATTTAATTCAATACAATACAATGCATGTTATCACATTTACCTATTGACTTCAAATGACAGGGGAAATCTGATATAAAGAGCATGCTGGAGCATCCATATCCCTAGATCCATACTGTGCCCCTTCACTGACAAAAGAGCTAATAAAAATGAATCAGTGCTAGAAATGTTGGAATCCAAGTGTCTACATTTACTTCATGTTGAGATTAACCATGAGCTGACATTCATTGAATGTTTCACACATTATGTACTGCACCACAAAAGTGGAATCATTGCCTATTTACTGCAGTGGCCATGTGTTGGTTTCATGTCAGACACTATGGTTTACCACTAGAGTGTAATGCTGACCATTGCAGTGGCCATTTTGGTCCTTGTTCTTCAGGTAATCCCACAGAATGAAGCTGAGAGGTGACACTTCAGGGGATGAGGCACCCGTCCATGTCGATTCAGTGGCTGATCATTTTGTCACTGAGGTGATCTTGGAGCTTGTAAATGAACCTGGCTAAATGAATACAGGCACGGAAGCCTCGAGTCTTTCACGGAATAGTGTTTTTGGGCAGTTTTGTCGTGCATAGCAGCAGCCGCAAATTCCGAGGACTTTGTACAGCCAAGTTCTTCAGGAGTTTATGCGCCGATGGCAAGCTGGATTTAATTTTCTTTGACAGTTGTGACACTCTTGGCTTGCCTGATGCCACTTTCTCAACACAATGTGGATGTTTCGCTGTCAGAAAGTATTTGGCATCGACTCCCCAAATTGATCTACCTTCACCTTTTTTGGCTAGCACCACCAGCATCTCGATATACGCTTGAGTCTGCGGGACTTCGGTCGAAACACATTATGATTACTGATATGTTTAAAAGTTGCTGCTTTTGCTTTACAGTATTCACTGTTGATGAGCAGTTTTGCAGCTTTAGTCCCCCTTCCTCTTACATCAATATTCGTTTCGTGTTCCGCCGCTCGCCAGGGCAAAACTTATCATGCAAACTTTATCAGAGAATGTTATGTTGACTGGTTGAACATTATTGGGCAGGGGCTGAGCTCAGGCAATGGCAAACCTAAGCAAAAGTTGTGTGAGTGGTATAACACCATACAGCAGAAGCATGATTGGGAATTCATTGCAAGCAAGGATGTAAAAAGTGGGTGACAGTGTAGACTGTGAGATAACTGCTTCCCCACCACCACCATCCCCTCCCCCCCCCCCCCCCCCCCAACTCCCACCTTCCACCTCCAATCTCTAGACTTATCAGTCTTTGCCCCATGTTATTGTATGGAAAGAAACAAGGTAAATGCTACCTTGTTGCTGCGAGGTTTTGGCGGTTTGTAATTTTCAAACTGAACAAAGTGTCAGCAAACAAAGACAAAAAGCAAAACAACACAAACAACACTGAAAGCGCCTGATCTCGCATTTCACAATCATATCCACTGCACTGTGTGTCCGCCTCTCAGCACGTGCTGCCGACCCCAGCGCGGGCCCGATGGCGCGGTCCCCGTCACACGGCCGGCGTGTGCCACTATGTCCGCCTCTCAGCACGTGCTGCTGACCCCAGCGCGGGCCCGATGGCGCGGTCCCCGTCACGCGGCCGGCGTGTGCCACTATGCCCGCCTCTCAGCACGTGCTGCTGACCCCATCGCGGGCCCGATGGCGCGGTCCCCGTCACGCGGCCGGCGTGTGCCCGCAGCGCTCCGGCCGGTGGCGCCGTGCATGTCGGAGAGCTCGGACGAGGCAGCGACCGAGGGTACAGCGCTGATGGAGGCGGCGGCGGTGCCGGGCGCGGCCGGCGACGGCGAGCAGGCGCGCCGCGAGCGCCGCTCGGGCGCCTCGGACGCCGACGCGGCCCAGCAGCAACAGCAGGAGGAGGAGGAGGAGGAGCTCAAGTACGGCGCCTCGCACGTCATCAAGCTCTATACACCGGTCACGCTGTGTATGGTGGTGGTGGTGGCCACCATCAGCTCCATCCCCTTCTACCGCGAGAAGCCCACCACCTACCTGTGAGTACTGGCTTGAGGGGCGGTTGCAGTGGTGTTGCGAGTTATGTACTTGCTTTTGCTGCATTGCTGTAGCCAGGGACCACTGTGCTTTTCAACCTTTCTTTGAGGCTGACTGTGGTACAAGCGGTTTGTTGAATGTAAGAAAACACGCAGGGTTTGGAAAGTTATCCTTCCAACTGAAAATGGTGTGTAAAGATGCTTCGCCGTGTGTTGTTGCATCACGGGCTGGAAATGGTCTTCCAGACTCTACACGCCATTCCATGAGGTATCTGAAGATGCCGGAATCAAAGCGTGGAACGCATTTGCCAACGCTGGAATACTGATCTCCGTCATCGTATTCATGACATTCGTCATCCTGATCCTCTACAAATACCGCTGTTACAAGGTGCGTCGTGTTCTCGTTCACGTTTGTTCGTCACCCTGGATGATCGGTCTCGTGCGCCGCTGTCCGGCTGCCATCCCGTCAGAGGCTGATGTTTTATATCGAGTTGGCCAGCAAGCACCGCGCATGAAGGCAAAAACGTGTGACTGATTACCGGGAATGATCGCCGTCATGTCGATCGCGAAGGATCACGATCATGTCGATCACAATGTGACGTCACGTAGCTGCCACTGCATCGAGCAGTGCGTGAGTTGGCCACTGACCATTGTTCTGCTCTCGTTTCAGTTTATCCACGGCTGGCTCATCCTCTCATCATTCATGCTGCTCTTCCTGTTCACCTACATATATATGGAGTAAGGATGCGCTCCTGCGAGGCGCACGCGCCCAAACAACCGTCGGCCTGCCCGTTCCCTGCGAAGGAGATTTGTGACGGCCGGCTATGGACGGAAGCGTCGCTGATGTAGATGATCGGGACGGTGGTGCTCGGGGAGAGACGCATTATCAGCTTAACCGTCCACTCTGCCGATTTTGCGGTCGAACCGAACCCGTCAGAAATTTGCCTGTTTCTGGGTGCAACCTCCGGGCCGTGACCTGGCGATCGCCGTCGTGTGTTTGCCGGCCTGGCTGTCGCCGTCACGTCTTGCCGTGGTGTGATCGTGTCTGGCACGTTTTGATGGTGCCATTTGTTTCCGACCGTGGCAGCTACCGTGTGTCCCGTGACCTCAAAGGCGGTGACGGTGAACCCCGAGCTTTGGCTGGACCTGTGGGCGTAACCCAGCGGCGTAGTCACACAAAATGAGTTGCGGGAGTTGAACAGGGAGAAATGACCAAGCCTACCCCCTAAGCATGCCAACAAACGGGCTGCCCCCCAGATCTCGCGCACTTTCTTTCCAAAGTTGGGGGGGGGACTTGACCTCCCCCTGTTCAGCTGAGTAGGAAGCTACACCCCTGACGTAATCGTAATATGGCGCTCCAATAGTAACGCCGCTGCTGACTCGCTGTAACGGTGACCTTTGGCGCGCAGAGAGGTGCTGACCGCATACAACGTGCCTCTGGACTACATCTCGATCGTGCTCTCGCTCTGGAACTTCGGCGTGGTCGGCATGGTGGCCATCCACTGGAAGGCGCCGCTGGTCGTGCAGCAGGTGCGCCAACTTGCTCATCCCCACCGCGGAAGTGTTGCTCTGGACCCGGCACCTGGACCCGTTGCCCTGGACCCCTGGACCCTGGACGTGTGCAGTCGGAGTGCAGTGTCTGAACCGCCGCATGTGAAAGCGAGCATCCGCGCTCAGTCCCGGCTACTGGGCGCGACGGGCCTGCGAGCTCGTTCGGCTTCTGTCAGGCGTAGTTGTATCTTAGCGTAGTTATTGGGGCTTTCGGACGTTGCGAATTTGTGGTCATGTAGTGTCCATGGCATACCCGTATCAGTGGTGTTTTTACTGGTATAATTTTGCTGTTGTTTTTTGTGATAGATTCTAGAGCGCTTGCGGTCTCACGATAAACACAAAAAGCTTAGTGCAGCCCCTCAGAGCTTTCAGTTATCGAATAAGTTACGAATTGATAGCGCGCCGATGTTCTGTGATTTCATGTGCTCAAGGCAGCGCCTCACGATACATTGTCATGCTGTGCAAGCGCTCCGAGGGCACGCTGCTGCTGTTTATTGGTGTTTTAGGAGGCGCCGACTAAAATGATCATTTTGTACCGAACCCCGAAGGCCCCGCCGTCTCCAGGTGTCTCCCCGGACCTTGAAAGCGTGATGAGGGCCGCATGCCTCTGAAGCACCGAAGCCCCAGCCTCTGACACCGCCGCCGCCGCTGCGTTCACAGGCCTACCTCATCTTCATGTCGGCGCTGATGGCGCTCATCTTCATCAAGTTCATGCCGGAGTGGACCACGTGGGTGGTGCTCGGTGTTATCTCCGTCTGGGACCTGATTGCCGTGCTCTGTCCGCACGGCCCGCTCCGCAAGCTCGTGGAGACAGCGCAGGACCGCAACGAGCAGATCTTCCCGGCACTCATCTACTCGTGTATGTGCGACACTCGTGCGCCGACACTCGTGCCCCGACACTTGTGCCCCGACACTTGTGCTCCGATGGTCATACGTGTCTTCACATGGGCCCCATGTGACCTTTGTTAACCCACATGACCCCACGTGACCCCGCACCCGGTTGTTCTCGCCGCAGCGACGGTGATCTACAGCACGGTGCTGATGGCGTCGGGGGACGAGCCGCCGGCGCGGCCGCCGCGCCGCCGCTCCGCCGCCGAGGACGCCGAGGACGGCGGCTTTAGCCAGATGAACGAGGCCAGCCGCGAGGAGCGCGCCGCCCGCCGCCGACAGCAGGTCAGCAGCTGGAGCGGGAGCTGGGCGCGGGCTGGCGCGGGCAGGGGATGGTGCTGACGGGCTTGTACGGTGCTGATTGCTGGTGCTAGTGGCTGATGCGCTCACCGCACCAGGCTCGCCTGGTGCGGCGTGCATGAGCGTGCGTCGGACGGCCATAGAGGGACGCGTCTGTGCGTACCGCGTCTGCGCATATGCCACGTGACCGGACACGTCGGCGGGAAGTCGCGGTGTCCAGGTGGCGAGAGGGCACGTCGTCCTGCGCTGCTTGGACGTGTGTCCGAGAGAGGACGGCCTGAAGACGTGACGTGTCGTCGCTCCGGACAGAGGACGAGAGTGGCGTATCGGAGTGCGCGTCACCTGTCCGGCTGGGTGCTCGTGTCTGAGCCCGCCATCCACCGTGTCCAGATCGTGCACCAGCCGCCGGCCGGCGAGCGGCAGCCGCCGCCACAGCCGCAGTTCGCCGAGGAGGAGGAGGAGCGCGGCATCAAGCTCGGCCTCGGAGATTTCATCTTCTACAGCGTGCTCGTCGGCAAGGCCTCCTCCTACGGCGACTGGAACACCACCATCGCCTGCTTTGTCGCCATCCTCATCGTACGTTTTTGGTTGTATGAGGTTGATGTAGCTGTTGGGCTGAAGTGTGACTTAACATCAAAACATGGTGCTGTACGTTATCATTAGGGCGAGTTTTTACTGTGGGTACGACGCCTTCGGTCGCCACGGTGTTAATGGCTTCCTGGTAATCAAGTATTTCACTTTTCATTGTCGGAGGCGGCTCATGGTTAGGACATGTAACGAGGCACTGTCTCATTTCATGAACCCTGACAGTGATGACAGACGAATCCAAGGTTTGCAACGTTCACAAGCTCCCACTTCGTTGTCGCCGCATTCAATGTTAAAACGTCCCCTGCTAAGCATTCAACCCGGAACCCGCCGCTTCCGGTCCCATCCCTGACCGTCCGCCTCACACTGCAGGGCCTGAGCCTGACGCTGCTGCTGCTGGCCATCATCAAGACCGCGCTGCCGGCGCTGCCCATCTCCATCACGTTCGGCCTCGTCTTCTACTTCGCCACGCGGGCCGTGATCGCACCGTTCGCCGACGTTCTGGCACTGCACCAGGTGTTCATATAGCACCGGCAGCGTGCGGGCCGGGCCGGCCGGCAGCCGGGCGCTCCGCAGCAGGTGGTCATCTGGCGCCGGGCGTCACCCGCCGTCCGCCGCTGGCCTGATCTGTCAGATCCGCGCAGGGTCTGATCATACAGGCCGGCCGGGGGGCGGGGGCGTGTCGCCGCTCCACGGCCGGCCGCCGACGGCTCTGTGGCGTCCGCCGCCGCCGGTGGCTCTGTGGCGTCCGCCGTCGCCGCGGTTCTGTGGCGTCTGCCGCCGCCGGTGGCTCTGTGGCGTCCGCGTGATGCTGCGTGATGTCGGTATCTTCTCTGTCGTGGTGCGGTGCCGCCGCGGCCGGCGGGGGAGGGAAGGGGAGAGTGGCGTCGGGGGAGGTGTCCGGACCGGGCGGCGCGGCTGGACGCGTGGCACGGTGTTAGGGGTGCGGCGAGTCCCGTGGGCTCGCCCCGCGGCGAACCCCAGGCTCCGCACTCCGACGGGTCTCTATTACATTCGCATTTATGGTCGGCTGAAGTGGTGCCGCATGTCGCGGCCTGAGTGTTGGCGACCTCGGGAGCCTCCACTCCATGCCCATGCAGGCTCGTGTCGGATGAAGATGTGTATTTATTTAAACACGTGATGCTAATCTAGCAGGACGTAGTGAAATTTCAGTATACGCTTACTTAATTCCTTCGCCATTACTGATTGATTTTCTTCAGTAGATAACGATGTTTCACTGACTGATCGTGCCGGCTGATTTCTGCCTGGGTTAACTGGGCTTAACTGGCTTAATTGGCTTAGCTTTGAAGCACACCAGTAGCAGGCTACTGGTTTGATCGTGACTGCTGATTATCACCGTTATACAATAACAAAAAACTTTCTGACGGTTATTATAACAGAAGTGTATGTGTAATACAAACAGTAATGTGGTTCGTGTCCATTTGGTAGGGAATCAATGTTTTGTCAAGGCTGTATAGCGACTGGGCGCGGAAAAGTGAGAACGATGTCTATTTTACGACGCATCCGTTCAAACTGCCTGTCTCAATGGCTAAAACCGAAATATCTCACCACGGTCGCAGTGAAAATCAAAACAGCACATTCTCGGATTAACCACTGAACCCAAAGTCGCGCGGTTTGAAGTCGTAGCAATTGGCATGCAGCTGAACGAGATATTAATCTGCGATGAAGATGGGATCCGGTCTCTGTTACTGGCTTTCATGTCCAAAGAAGAGGCATGAGAAAGCCGAAGCAAACACGACCGTGAGAACCGTATGGGTTGCGCCCTCAGGACGTCTCCGACTGGCACCGTGACAGACCCGGCCCTTGACCTGTGATGACCTGCGATCCCCACTTCCGGTGATCTCAAGGCCGCACACGTCATAAGTGGGAGTTTGGAGCGAGCACAGCAGAGGAAGAGTCGTGCTGCAAACCACGAGGCTAACGGTGATTTACTGGACCCTGTGACGAAGGTGGAAGCTTGATCATAAGGCAGATATGGAAGTGGGACGGGCGGTGTTGAATACAATGTGGAAGATGATAATCAGGAAAGGGCGGATGAGGAACTCTAACTCCTTCCCTCAGTTCAGAACGGCGGATATCACGTTCACAGAATGACGTTGAGTGCTGTTTCAAAATGCAAACTTTTCTATTGTGATCGTTTGAGCGCAATTCCGTGTAAACTGATGTTATCCCTTTAATTTACGAGCGTTAACGCGTGGCGACTACCACCTGCGAAGTTGTTACTTCAGTTGATGCGACACTGTGGTCCGGACGGCGTGAGAAGACGCGGCGGACGGAGCGAAACTGGCGTTCGCTGAGTGTCTTGGAGGTTTAGCTGGCAATTCAAGGTATTGCGGACGTTTAATTCACTATTGACATGTAATGTTTGGCGGGACTCACTAACCGGACAATATTCCGAGCCATGCCTTAGCCCCACTTTTTACTAGTCTCCATTAAGTACTACTACTGATAGCATTTGTAAAGCTCTTGCACACCACAGAGAGGCTACGCGGCCAGCTCGCACCTTACAAATCGGTGTAGGACATTTCGCGGTATCCGGGGTACTGGATTGACCTAGCCTACATGTAGACTTGGGGCAAGATCGCACTCACGATACTGCGGCTAAAGAGACACCGGTAAAGTTGGCACGATATCCGGATATTCGTGCATTCGACACGATCGATAAATGTCGACCGCTCCCATTTCCTTGGAACTCTAGTACGCTGCACAACTTGGCTTTGTCACATGCTGGTATAATCAAATTGTCTCACATCTAATGTAGTCATCACGATTATCGGTTACCGAGACTTCTGTCCGCCATGGGCTTCCATCAAAAGTTATTTCTAAAGATCCGTTCAAAATCAGAACCGCACCGTTACATACCGTCGCTGAAAGAAGCCAAGGCATGCTGAGAGGATATCGATAACCTCACATCAACCGATCTCAGCTATCGATAAGTGCCGACCAGTATAGTTTCCTCGAAACTTTGGATAATGTAGGCTGCAAAGTTACAACAGGGACCTCGTCATAAGCTGGTAAAATCCATAGGCGTAGGAACGTTTCAAAAAGTGGGGGGAGGGCAAGCTCAGGGCGCACCTCAAAAACTTTTTTTGTGGAAAACGGGTCCGATGACCGGGGGGAGGGGGAGGGGGGAAGGTAGAGATGGCGGTTATCGCAATTTATTCAGATGTAATGACTGCTATTCTAGACTATGCATATAGAGTTACTTCTCACTAGTGCACACCCTCGTCTATGCGAATAAGCTATGTCATTCGGGAAATAAGGTTATCCAGCTTCCCAAGAATATTCCTGTATTTCAACGTTGTTTTTCATGGGGAGCCGAAATTCCACGAGCGGGTAGGCATTTTAAGACATTGAGGAGGCACCTGTCCCCACAGGATAGATGTCAAAATATGGCATCTATCATGGGCATAGGTCGGGGAAAATTTTGAAGGTGAATCGATAGCTCACAGTACAACAGATCTTGCATGCGCCTTCATTTCGCTGGCTGCTTTTCAAGAGATAAGACTTGTCACGGCATTTTTAGGCGGAAACAAGTTCGGAACCTTGAAACTGCCCAAAACCATGTGACAAAAGCTATAGAACTGAAGATTCTTCTTTGAAAACCAAGCCACAGAATAAAGGCCCTTTTCTCCTCCCGGCTCCAGGCTCCTTGCCTGAGCCCTGTTCCCGTCCGCCTTCAGTAGACCCTGTCTTGGCCCGGCTGTCTCCGAATGACTGACCACGAACTGGTGGTATGGCTGCTTTGTTGCACATTTCTGGGCCACCATTGCTATTAACTGGGATGTAAAACACGTATTGGATACCTGCAAAAGTACCTTTTTCCAAACTATCTTCCCCTACACCACACCACCCCAGAAAAATGCCGCCGGTAAGCTGCCTACTTTAGATATGAATTGGCCCAACGGACATTTAATTGCCCGTCATTCAACGTAAATGACTTGATGTGCTTTTGTGTGTAGGCAGGGGTAGCCAGAGCCTTGCTAAGAGGAGCACAGGGTTAACAAAATGGTGATCCCGCAAAAAAATATCCCCGGATATAGTTTCTTTGCTAAAAAGGGATGCAGTTTTCTTCGTTTCATTGCTATTTTTACGTTGTAACCAGAACAGAAACCAGAAGCTACCGTGAAATCAAGTCTGTTCACATTTTTATCACGCGTCCAGGTGGCCGGCTAGATACCCTCGCTCGAGTGGGGGACCAATTTGACCCCGCTGAGATCTCGGGAACTGAAAAAGCTAGAGACACCAAATTCACTGGGTGTGCTGGCCTGCACGTGAACTCGCTTAGATCAAAGTTTGAGGTTAAGGTCAAATTCCAGGTTGGTCTCTAAAGAGCGACCAGAACTTAGATAACTGTTTCTTAGCAAAAGGTTACATGCTCAGTTAAGGTCAGTGATCGTTTGACCTGTTGAAGGTCATGGTGACCGAAATTATACAAGGCTGCTCCGAGTTTTGTATTTGAACAAGCGAGAAAGATTGCGCTAGCCAGTATGTTTCCAAAAACAAAATTTTGACCTAGTTCATTTTAGGTCAATGACCTGTTCTAACCTCTAAGAAGTCCATAGGCGATGTATCATGCGGTTCCTGCCATCAACAAAGCCGAAATGAGCACAAGAAACTATCACATACAGCAAGCCCTAGAGTAATAAAACAGGTTGGTTTTGACCTTGGTCTGACATTTATACCTGACCTCGGGTCAACGCAATTTGCTCATTCAATATTTATGGCGCCTAGGAAAGCATTTCAGAAATGTATGGCTTCGTCTAACACTCCATTGCTGCATCAGATTGAACGATTCCCTAGAAGATGACTTCGCTGAAACCATGGCCTGACTTTAGCTTGCCATAGGTCAGCGACCTTACAAAGTACATCTAAATTTTGAAGCCAAACGATCCGCTTTCCAATTGTCTACAGCTATGCATAACATGGCGCGGCTGCGCCGCGCCGTTCGGAAACCATTCTGGAAAAACCTTTGGAGGCGAGTCAATTTGACTCCCACCCGAGCGCGTGTTAAGGTCAACGACCTGCAGAAATCAGGCATTTAACGACCGCATGGAATAAATCACCGGTGTCCTTAATTTGCAATGGCTTAGAAGACTCTTTCTAAACCGATAGAATTCAGAAAGTTTTCACAATGTTTGATAAATGTTGATCGAAATTTGAGGGTGAAAATGTTGATTGCAGATCGAGTGATCAACAACGTGTGTAACATTGCCAAGCCATGGTCGTCTGGAAATGTTTAACATTCAGTCAGAATCGATTAGTGATACAATTTACTAAAACGTGGTTTTTAATATGCGCGCTCGCAAATCTTCGCAACAAAAACCTCGACACCCGGCATTCCAGTCTCCGTAGTTCACGGAGCGCTACTACCTCAGTGGTTAATTTTTCTTCATGGTCCACCGGTGGACGAATAATGGTTCTGAAATAATTACCTTTAAAACCTGAATCGGTTAGCAATAAAACTTAAGTGACATAATTTTGAGCACACATATTCGCAAATCTCAGTAAAAAAGTCCTCGACTCCAGGCGTTGCAGTCTCCTTAAGGAGCGCGGCGTTGGCTCAACAGTTAATATTGAGCCGTGGCCAACGGGTGGACGAAAATGATGAGGCGTCTGAGAGAAGTACTTTTGAACGCTTCAGGAGATCAAATCTTGCATCTGCAAGGCAGTCTGGGCGCATATTTCACGTGTACGATTTTTAGACTGATGATAAGACCGGATTGGCCCTTAAATCACCGTGAAGTGGTATCGGAATACGGTCGTGGAACTCGAAGAGTAAAGGTAGATTCTCTATTTTCGTGTTTCTGTAACTATAAATTTGTCCAGGAGACAGACTGACACGGCACCTGCCGTCTGATGGCACTTGCAGTGGCCGGAGCCGTTCTGTTTTACGGAAGCTGCAACCCAGACCATCGCTGTCCTTGCTCTTGAGGATGCAGGCGAGCATGTTCAAACTTTTTTATGTACTTTTTTCACTAATCCATTCTGAAAAATGTGCGTTCTTAGGCAAATATGGGATGATTTTGTTCGTTCCTTTAAATATCCATTTCGACCTACTTTATTCAGCAATAATGAGACCTCCACTCTACTCAACAATGCTGAGGCCTCTTATTTCTTTCCGGGCAAGGTGCCCCTCGAGTGGAACGCTAAGGGCACATTACCGGTTCCGGTCAAGAGCTGAAAGCTCACTCCGTCCCACCGTGAAGCGTCTTCTGGCCGTCATTCTAGCGACACGGGGCGGGATCTCCTGGCCGATCCGGTGGCCATTAGAAGGATATATCTTATTACATTGTTCCCCTCCTTCACACGGGAGGGCTTCTGACCCACGCAGTTGGCCAGGATCAGCACAGGAACCTCCATTGACGCAAGAACGTCCCTGGTCGTCAAAGGTGGTCCGATAATTGTCA